ACGATAGAGGACTGGAGAAAGAGTGATGGGGTGCGACGCGAGAGATGAGGTGGTTGACTTTGGATGGTTTGGGGTGAAATTGGTTGAGCGGAGTGATGTGCACTGGACTGGTGCAAAACATTTCGAATAGGCGTTGGAATATAAACTTGATGAAGTATAATTCGTACAAATACGAGGAGCCTGTAGCATAAAACGCAAGAAACACAAAACGCTTTGCATAATCAGTTTCGCAGTATTCAAGCATGGCCTCCATCATGTTCAAGCCCTCACCAGTCCATCCTTCATCGGCTGTGCAAATCTAGCTTAGAAGTATTGTCATGTTTGCAGTGTTGATATTAGAACTTAACGAACCGCAAGCAATATGTCACCGGTGCAATGAAGGCCAGTGTACGAGGATGTCCCGTTCACGCGAGACAGAGTAACAGAAGGTTCAGTCAAGGAGCCAAACTACAAGCATGACATGAAGACTAGAAGACACCATTCCATGAGTTGCCGGTGAATTAGTAATGGTATTCAAACTGAAACTCACGCGTTGGAGTAAAATGAGAAATGGTACGCTATGTTATACACGTAATGGACGTCGAGCGTAAAGAATTTGCAAAAAACAAAAAAAATTGCAGATTCACTCTCAGGCCGTCTATTTCAAATCTTCTCATAGCGGTACGGACTCTTCAGTGTCTCTTTGTTCAAGCCAGGTTTCTATCTTTAGTAGCAAATTCTATCATGCCAATGATCAGTCGTGGGAAGTTTAATGTGATTAATGGTCTTAGACGAGAGAATAGGCCACTGAGGTAATGACTCACATAAGTGAAATTTCCCATCTTGTCTTGGGATTCATTTCATTGATTTTGAAGTTAGCCAAATCCTATTATCTGTCGATGTTTGAATCCTCTTTCCTTAACAATAGTAGCAAATGCATGTCTTTTTTTAAGTTCCAAAAAAAATCCATCGAAACGTATCAGATCATGCTTACACGCCACGCTGATTTATCTTACGAAGGCTATCGCATAATCTCAGCTTTCCTATGAAGTCCATGTTGAACTATGCTACTAGTATAATTTCCCAGGCCACGTCTTCGACATACGAATATCATCTATCAAACACTGAAAGTGAAACTATCTATGGCCCCTTACCGTGTCATTCAATGGCCTCGGCTGTTTCCAAGGAATTTCAAAGTCTACACTCTTGATTTACACTAGTAAATTCCGTTCGAAATCCTTTTTCCTTCTTGAGAACATTGTTTGTTTCGGGAAACTTGCAACCGCTTCCCTGAGTGTTTGCAAGCCGCGTACACTGCCAAGTGATGCTCGCATCAGGGGAGCAAAATCGATAGGTATATGTGATTGTGCTGAAAAATGCCTTTCACAATGATCAGCATTGTCTGAACAGCTGAAATATGCTGATATTGACATGGAGCACTTTGGGCTATTAAGCACTATGGTAGTTTGGAATCGGATGGAGATTGTGCAACAGATCCGAACCTGTAAGATCGCCGTATCAAGATTTTGATTATGTAGTATGGCAGTAACAGCACTTGTGTCTCCAGATGCAAGTTGAGAACTGTTCCTAAAGCTCCTGAGGTGAAGATGGGACTGGCCTAGGCTCTTGTACCCAGGCAGGGAAAGTTCCGCGGCAGCATATCCTTACCACTCTGTACGAGAAAGTGGTGTCACAACACAACATCTGATTGCTTGATCAGCGTGCTACAGTAATTTACTAGTCGTTGGTAGTCTATGCGACTCAATCTTGCTATTATTGCATTGCTGAGCAGTGGGTACAAGTACATATGGCAGGCATGGAAAGCACTTTGAAACCCCGGTGCCGGCACATCGCATAAAGATTATGAGTGACATGTTCCTTCAGGGCCAGCCCATGCCCCCCCGCAAAGGTTCGTCTTATTTCGTCGTTTTCTCTCCTTGACACTGAAGGAGAAAAGTGAGATGGAGAGTGTTCCATAGTAGACGGTGCAGTCGAAGCGCAGCTCGGCACTGTCAACGGTTAACGGCCCCGCTATTTCGCGTCACCAATCCCCACCACCTGAACCCCCCGTCCCAAATTTCCGAGCCTCATGGCACGTCTTTTCGCGACAACAAAGCCGTGGTTTTTCTACCCCCTGTGAGACTTCCGATTGTTTCCCCGTTTGCCATTATAAGATCAGATACTCTCACTGTCTAATCTCGATTGGCGACTTATACGGCATTATGGCGAAAACGAAAGATCTACAGACTCTCATCGACCTCACCACATCCGCGCAAAGACTCTTTACCCACTATCAGGCCTCGCTTGCGCCCTCGAACGTTACTACACCTACAAGTCAGACGGCAGAGAGCGGTCTCCCCAACCCACTCGAAGCCGTCAAAGCGTCAGTCACGCTTCTTAAATCGCATACGACCACCCTGTCCCTGCTCCTCCTTACGCCCCCCCTCACACCCTCTGCTGTGATTGCAAAACTCAACGAAATAAGCTCAGGGCCACTGAGTGGTATGGTTGCCGCTGCCTCATACACATATCAAGATGGCCAGATCGATCCACTGGGTACAATCATGCGAGTCGAAGTCAAGTCACAAGTGCGAAGACTTATATCTACATGGGGCGATGTCCTTGCCCTGATTTCAAAGACGGCAGAGAGAAGACAAGCAACCAAGAAAGATGTTGGACTTTCAGAGAGCGAAAAGCAAGAGGTTCTCTCCGCTACTGGCATGGTATGGGGAGCATGCGACACCCTACTCAAGCTATGTACCGATGGTATCGTCGGATTAATAGTCAGGAAAGCAGGGGAGCTGAGGGCCGTGCTCCTTGATGCGATCGAGGAGCTCAAGGAATGGGGCGATGACATTGATGACGGAAGCGACGACGAAGCAACGCACAGCGATGATGATGAAGACGACATGTTTGGTTCATCGAACAAGCTTGGCAAGGACGACAAGGAATTGAAGGACTTATTGGATGCAAGCCTCAAGAAGCTCAAGATGATTGGCATGCTCTACCAGGCCTTGATCAAGCGGAGGCTGAAGACCTATACTCCATCTCCCCCGCTAGCCGCTAACGGTGTCAAAGACGCGACAATTAATCCCAGCACAAAGCTAGACAAGCTGATGGATAAGATGAAGACCATACCTGAGACGGCTGACGATTTGGCGAGCGCGTTCTACGACCTTGACGAAGACGAGGTGAAGCAGACACTGGACAAATGCTGCACGGCAGCCAAGGACGCAGTAGATATCGTCAAGCAAAGTTGGAACGGTAGGGACGATGAGTTCACAGCATGGTCAACAAAGTGGCTGGATGCGCTGGAAGCGTCGTGAAAGTATCTCAGGAAACGAGGGTATCGCTATTATATTGTTTCGTCGCGTATCCCGTACGCTTCTCGTGCTACGGCAACATTACATCTTACAACCTCTCCACTGTCCACCTCCATCTACAAAGCGAAAGCAGCAAGACCCAGGGCAACGGCACCGAGACCAGCAAAGTGGGAAGCGGCACCGGCGGTGGAGACTTGGGGAGGAGCAGATCCGGTGGCGGATGGCATACCGCTGGTCCTGTTACCCGAGGGAATAGGAGAGCCAGAGGCCATGGGAGAACCCATGCCAGAGCTGGCGCTAGGTCCCATGGAGGGCATAGGTGAGGCGACGGGGGTGGCGGTACCAGAGACAGCGACACCGGAGCCGGCGCAGATGCCACCGAGGGCAGCTTGAGCCTCTGGAGCATGGCGTTAGTGCATATGGGGTAAGAGATAGAGTTGAGGGGACATACTGGCTTGGTCTTCACCGTTGCAAGCATTGGGAAGGCAGCCCTGGATGGACTCGGCGATCTTGGCAGCGCCAGTGGTGCACTGACAGGTGATGTCGGTAGGACCGCATCCTGAGGCGGGGACGGCAGAGATCAAGCAAGGAAGCTGGATCGGAGGTCAGTAAATGTAAATGAAAACCCTCAAGATGTGTTCCCATCATGGGTCAGGTTGGGGGAGACATACAGCGCACTGGGGGACTTGAGACAGATCCTGCGCGCCAGTGAAGGCGAGCGAGGCAGCGAAAGCAACAATGGTAGCCTGGAAACGCATATTTGCTAGGTGTTGATGAGTGATTGAAGAATCTGGTGAGTAAATATTACAACGGGAGTGAAGGAATTAGCGATTGTGAAGGATTACTTTGGATTCCAAAGAAGAGCATAATGCAAGGGCGGTCCTACCATCTAAATACCCCATTGCCCCCTGACCCAGAGTCAAGGGCATACGACTGTATCTTGCACACACAGACCCGAAACATTACACGGCGCTACAATATGCGCCATGGTCCATCATCCTTTCCTTTAGGGCCGTTAAGTGGCACCGAATCATAAAGACCGGGGGGCCAGATTCAGGGGTGGCTAGTATGATTCCGACGGGAAGTAGCGGTGCCTTGGCTGGTGAGCTATCGATGGCTGAGGCCCTTGGAGCCAGAGCGTGGCGAAGATTTGATCCAAGTGGATGGTGATTGGAGTCTGCTGGAATGCTATTCACCTGTGGCTTTGCGACGGCGTCGTTTCCTCTCCGCATTTGGGTTTTCGCTGGGGTGGGAGGGGAGGATGAGATGAGAGCAACGCACTGGTACCTATCTAGCTACAATGAGAGATTTTTCTTCTTCTGCTTTTTGGTTGAGAGGGACTGACAGGCCTCTGGATCTAGGTGCGTTCCTTCGGGCACTCTGCGGTAGAGATCTCGGCACTGTTACACCACAGTTTAATGGTCGTTGGTGCTTTTCCGCCCCAATTCAGCCGAACGCAGTGCTCGTATTGGATGTGGAAATACGTGCAGCGTGCGTTCCCCTGCATGCATAACATGATCATTCATGTACTATAGTAACTTGGTGACTACCGCCGTTCTGCCCGCTTGCAGACTGTCCGCGTAGCTATCAAAGCCGTCACTTACACTAGGTACTGGCTGGGCCGCGAAAGTATCCAAACTATGATGCCAGCCGATGAGAACCAAATTTTATCAAGTCGTTTGCCATGACCTGACCCTGCTCCAACGATGTGTTGCATGTCGATCAGGAGCTTAGCATCATGGACATTCTGGATCCTCTTGTTGATCACTTAGCGCATCAACCACTGTTCAAACGCTCTTTGAGCCTCGTCATGGTATTTGTCTAGATTGAGATGGTCTGGTCTGGGACAAATTATAATGAGGCGCCATCCATTTGCAGTAATGCATTACTGCGGCTAATCGCTCTGCTTCCCCGCATTGCCGTAGCAGGCAAAAAGAGGATAGACTGTCTTTGATGAGAAGGAGGATTCCGCCAGTTATTTGAATGTCACTTTGGTGCATAGTCAAATACCTACCTACATATTCAGATTAGACTGAATATCAAAAGCCGAAGCTGTGTGAATATCAAAGGGTTCCAGTACATGCAGATACCATGTCTTTAGTCGCCATCTCTTTTGCCTACTCCGGAACTTTCCCATCACATCTGCGATGAGTGCCAAAGACGATTTACTTTAGCTTACTGTGTACATGGCCAAGGACATGTGTATCAGTTCCCATGGGCGCCCGTCGCCTTCTTACTCGCATGCCTGATTTCACCCACTGCAGTCAGGTTCAGGGGCTCCGTGAGGCTGCTTCTGACAGACTGTGGTAGCACATTCCAATGATCTTGACTTAGCTGCGGCTGTCTCTTGCGTCAGCAACCTCCAAGAGGCCTAGTCAACACGATAGCTCCACACAAACCCACCCCCATCCAACTTTGCTATACCTGTTGCGCACCGTACCGGTAAAAGGAAAAAGCATAATGGGTCAAGCCAATGTTCGCCGCCCCCAGATCCATAGTGTAATTACCGTAGACTCCCAGCTTTGCCTGCAGCGCAACAGCCCTCCCACATGAATCAATTGCGTCTCAGCTCTCGCAGCAGTCACAGCATAGTAAGCCGCACGGACACTGCATGTTCATCATGATACAGCGAATAAAGTCCCACGAGTGAGCAAGTCGTTCGATTCGCCTCGTTCCCGCCTCAACACTCACGACACATAAACGGGCCCTACTGATTGCAAAGGAGAAGAGCGACGCTCGGCTGTTGAATCCGACTCTCCAGGTCACCACCTCACATCCTATTGTCTTGTCGATCAGGGGGGGGGGGGGGCGGAGAGTTGTCGGTTTCACTGAAACCTAGTCATCACGACGATCCATCCATCCATACCCACTCCATCACACTACAAAAAGGACTGCATCCTGTCACGCACTCAGATACATACAATGATGAAGTACATAGGCACACAAGTAAATAAAGTCCTATTGAAACGTTGGCCCAAGCAGCATAATGGAATCCCCAATACTAGATCCGTGTCTATGAACTTCTCCCTCCCCACCACGCGAACCGTTCGCGTTCCCGAAGACAAAAGAGAAGAAGACGGAGATGTAAAAATCAAAATGGAAAAATGGAAAAAACAGGCAATGCCAAGAGAAGAATAGGGTTCCTGTATTCTCTCGACCGCAATTCATGGCGCAACTGAGAGGAAGGAGGTTTGGCCGCTGGGTAGGTGGGGGGAAGCGGTAGATCCCATACGGCATATTGCACAGTACAATAGGCACGGCAGGCAGAGGCTTAGGTATTGCACCGAATTCGACCGGGACCAATATACAAATCGCTCGGCTTTTCTTCGATGGAATACGTGCGGAACAAAGGAATGGCCAGTGTGTTGGTTCTTTCGTATCCTTGTCTGTTTTGGTGCCCATAATGGTGGACCAGTTTCCATGTACGGTACCTATCCTCGAGAATGGGTTGTGTGTGCAAGCTTTTCCAAGACCATAGAGGCTGATCGCGCATGTTTGGTTGGATCCCGTCTTCCGGGTCATCGCGATTGCTTACAGAGAGGTGTCTAGTTGTGCCATTTTATGCAAGTGGTGGCATCAAAGCCAGTTTGTGTTGCCAATGCACAATATGAGGTTATAAATTCCTCTGTTCCCTCTGCTCCCTTCACCCCCTCTGTCCCAGACGCACGATGCTCCCCATCTGCCCTTACCCTTCTCGCCCGAAAACCCGACACGTACCCTGACCACCCAATACCCTCGCCATCCTCTTCCCACTGAATCACCGTTTTTTCCCCGTCCTCTTTGCGCAACGACGCAGATGAAAACAACATTGGACAAGGGGCGTGTGTGGAGGGTTACAACAGTTCGCCATGCCGTTGAATCGACTCACGAACTCACGCACGTCGACGTTACCGCAACACATAGACACGGTAGCACGCATGGTTGAAGCTCCCACAAGGATCCTCGGCACATTAGCAGTCGTTGTACTTTGCTACATGCGTGTATCTAGCCATGTCCACTTCGCAGGGCATGGGTGATTGGACCTAGAGAACATTCTGTCCTCGGGTAAAGTGCTAGTAGTACTACAAGCAGACATTTTCTACTCTCCCACTCCCATGGACAACATTTCGGGATCCACTTTTGAATTGCCCATCCACTTCTCCTGTGGTCGAACGGTTGCCGTTGTTGACGGTCAGCTAGTCGTCCGAACCTCCCTAAAACACCGTGTCCAGCCCGGTGTCGGGTCACCCCATCTTCCCAAAAGAAAAAGAGATAAAAAATAATTGGAACAGAAGATGAAGCCAAAATCCTGGTAAAAATTTGCTTCAAGAAATACAATGAAATCCCTAATGTAGCAGACGAAATGGTAAGAAGTTTAAAAAAAGCCGGAAGCGGAGGAGGTATATTGCTGAACCCACAAGGGAAAAAAAGACAGAAACAGGCCGTTGTGCACAAATCTCGAGACACGACGGGACAAAACCGAATAGAAACCAAAGAAAATACTGCCTTCCCACTCTCTGTTGTTCTCTCTCTCTCTTTCACTCACACACACACATATATATATATGAGAGAGAACTAGAAGAACAAACTGATTGCTTTTGAACACTGCGCCGACAATACTTTGCCAATGCTTGACTAAAACATTGCACCTTCCATGGGCTGCGGCGCCATTGGCTGAGGGTTCATCGCATGGGGAGGGGAGTTGTTGCGGTTGACGAATCCATCCTGTGGCATAGCAGGCGAAGGACCTGTTGGGCCCTGGGCCTCACCGCGTAGGCTCTTGCCCTCGCTCGACGTCTTCCGTAATCTGGCCCTTGGTCTTGGGATCTGGCTCGCCAGCCCATCAGACGAATTAGTTCTCAGAGGCTCAGCGTATGGCGCCCGCGGGGTATCTATCCCGGCTTGGATAGCAGGGTCGTGGCGGTTGGCTGCCTCACCGCGACCGAAACCAAATCGCCGTCTCATTGGGTTGATGGGTGGCACTGGAGGAGGCTCATGCTCAATGCCATTTTTAAGCGACGCACCAGGTGGTAAGTTGACGGTATCAATCACTGAAGTCGTAGACACAAAGACTGGCTCAGAAATGTCCGACTTGGCCACAGACTTCTTCCGAAGGACTCCGGTCCTGGTCAAAGGTTGAACCGAACTTGGATTGAACGTGGTGCCGTTGGGTGTGGTAGGGTTGGAGATGGGAGGTGTGTTACTGGCCGAAATGGGAGGCATAGGAGAGGATGGTTGATGGTAGCCATGCCCAGCTGGGCTGTTGAACCCACCAGGGGAAGGTCGAGGTGAAGCGGGAATGCCTGGCGAGAATTTGCCTCTGCCTGTTCCAGCACCAGTCTGGATAGGGTGGAGGTGCTTTGATTCAAAATAGCTTGCAGCAGCCGTCTTGCTGTTACTGCGTGATCGTGTACGACTTTGAGCCTCGAGCGATGGCCTCTCTGCAGACAGCGGTGGAGTGGGGTGAGCAACATAGCCGGGAACAGAGGGAAGGGTGTTGGGCGGGTAGGCAGCCCTGGTGCCTTCTGCCATGGCTTGGTCCAAATCGTCACGATACTCGCCAGGACGACTGCGGGAGCGGGCCGATGAGGTTCCGGAGCCGGATCTCTCTCGTGTAGAGCTTCTGGTGGTGGACACGGCTGCTGACCTGCCAGTAGGACGGCCTGTCTGGCTGGCGTCCGTTCCCGACCGTTGTCGAGTACTCATTTCCCGCTGTGCATCCTGCTCACTTTGCTGCAAGACGCGAGAGGGCTTCGTTCTGAGCGGTGGCATTTCGGCACCCTGCATACCGGCCAGAGAAGTACTACTGCCATTTGCGTAGCTGGCACCGACGGTAAGCTTCCTAATGGACTTGTTCGAGCTTTGCTGCTCAGCCACGGTGGCAAACGATTCACGGCTCGACTTTGCACGCAGCATATTCAGGGCGGTTTTGAGTCCTCCAGACGGGCCTGGGGCCGGGGCCGGACTTGTCGATCGACCTTCTGCTCGCGCACGAAGATTCTCCTGAATGAGACGTTGTCTATGCGCAAGGTCCTTTTGGAAGGCCTCGTGTTCAGCTTCCGTCTCATTGCTCGCGATGCGTTCGTGATTTCTCCGTGGTGTGAGGTCCCAGGGAGCGCCGTTGGCGGGCTCAGTAGCGCTCAGGATGAGGGGTTGCCTATTCTGACGTTCCAACGGACTGGTGGAAGCCATGCTAGCTTGCTCGTCCCGATACGGGTTGTTGTCAATGTCATCGAGATCCCATGGGTTCGAGTGACTGTGAGTCGAAGGTGCCGGTGTGGCCGAACCGGAACCAGGTTGCTGACGTCGCTGAACGAGACCCATATCCTGAGTCTGTATGGCAAGACCCAGTGGAGCATTGCCCGGTGGACTCATCAGAGGTGGGCCAGGCTCGCCATAGGTCGAAGAAACATTGCTTCCATTACGCAGGTGCTGTCGAATCATACCACCCAGTCCGCTAGAGTCAGGACCAAGCGTTGGCGAGTCTACCTCGGAGCTCAGCTTTGGTGAGACGTCTGCTGTAGGTGAGGGCTGATCAGGCGGGCTGATTTGTACGACGTGTTCCTCGGACGTGGTACGGGATCGCATCGCAGGATGCTCGAGGAGGGAAGGGGCTGGTCCAGTCGCAACGGGAAGATTGTCAAACCGACGGCTGGGCTCCGAAGGACGCAAGGCCAATGGTGGTGATTGCACTGGCTGCTGCTGCTGCTGCTCCTCCTCCTTCTCCCCCTCTTCAGCATCGCTCGAATCGTTCGAGGCGAAGAACGTGGTGCCACCACGAGATTCCGAGGACTCGAGGTCTCGAACCCGTTCCTCGGATTGTGTGGCAACTGGTTCTGGCGAAGCTAGACCGGCAGCTCTAATTTGACTGGCAGCTGCCTGAAACCGGGAGAAGGCCGACCGTGCTGGGCTTTCTTCAGCAGGTGGTGGTTGAGGAGTTGGCTGTGGTTGTATCTGCTCGGCAGCATTCGACTTCTTTCGCTTGGCTTGCACGGCACGTTCGCGAAGACTTGGCTTGCGAGAGGGCAATTTATCTACGAGCTTGGGTACTACGGTGGCTTGAGAGGGGGTAGATTTGGGCTGCAAATGCCTTAGACGCTCTGCATATTGTTCTTCGCTAAAAGCCTCCTTGGGCTTATTGAAAGCACCCATGGCCGTTGCCTTGCCTCGATCATTGGGTTGAAGGGCGGCATTGAGGGCGTGTGCGTCTTCCGAATCGCTGGCACCAGGGCTTAGGGGAGGCGACAATGGTCGAGAGAGGACTGGACTTGAGCCGGCCGAGGAATTGTTTCGACTGACATTGGGGTAGGCAAACAGATTGGGACTGTCGGAGCGCAAGGTAGGACCCCGGTTGAATCGGTCGCTTAGATTTGTGGCAGATCTAGCCAAAGGCAGAGGGATAGGGGGTGTCGATCGTCCAGTCGGGGCACGGGCTCTCTGTATTGAGTTCAAGCGATGCATAGCCGACGACTGTTGTTCCTGGATATGCTGGTCCAAACCCTGGTCATACAGCCTGCGGTTCTTGGTAGTTGGTCGGTTCAGTTCGAGGGAGGGATGGGTGGTGGTGGGCGAGAATGCGGGCGACGATGCCGCGACCGAGTTGGCACCTTGCGAGGCTATCGATGTCGCGGCCGTGGATGTGCGCGTGTCCATGGTCCCAGAGTTGGTCGACGAGGACGTCTCCCGCTTCTGGCTCAGAGTCGTGGGACTCGACGGCTCCGAGGGCTGATGGTCCCTCTCCTGCTCCTGCCCCTCGTGCTCTTCTTGTTCTTCTTCCTCTCGCCTCAGCCTATCCTTTTCCTCTTGCCGCAGCTTTTGATAGGCAGACATGTTCACGTCGTCATCGTACAGGGTACGGCCCAGGCCTTTGGAGCTGTTGTTTGCCACCATGTAAATCTTCTGACGTCCACCAAAGAGGACATTGCCCTCGCCCGGTCTGGACCGTGTCATGACGCTACCCGGGCTCTCCTCGTCTCTACCGCTATCAAACGAGTTTGTCCGCTCGGTCGCAAAGGGAGGTTGGATGGAGCCATGGAGGGAGGAGACTTCGGCAATGTCTGCCAGGCCGCCGGCTGTAAAACCAAACTCGTGCAGTCGAGACTGTCGTTTGGGCTGTAGGACACTGTCGTCGCTTGCCTTGCCAATCTTGGAGGCGGGATCGTCCTGTTCCCGTAACATGCTGAAGCGGGTGGAGAGGCCAGGCATGATGAGACTTGTGCGGAAGTCGTCGACTTTGGGCAGGGCGAATGCGAGGTCGAGTTCGGGCTTGGGGGCCTCGTCCCCCTTCTTTCCCTTCTTCGTCTTCTTCGGAGCAGCGGCCTCGTCGCCGCCGTCCTTGTTCTTTCTCGTCAACCAGCGATTCATAATGGCCTGAGAAGTGTTAGCAGGCCATGACTTTGGTAGTGCTGGTAGCTTGTGGTGTGTGCTGCCACGGAGAGATGGGAATCTTCTTACGTAGCGATTGGCAGGGTCACGGCGAATGGGTGGTGAGTGACAGGGCGAGGGAGCCAATGGCGATGGTTCCGAGGGAAAGAATCACGTCACTCGCGTCCAATTGAGCAATAGGGAGGCGTGGTGTTGTTTTGGTGGTGATGGGCAGGTGATGGCGCGTGGGTGGAAGGAGGAGGAGCAGACGCGAGCTCCATGTACGATAGTAGCGGTACGCGGAGAGGGCAGGAACAACACGACGCAAAGACGAGCGGTCGGCGGCGAGAGGAGAAGAGAGAGAGAGAGAGAGAGAGAGAGAGAGAGAGAGAGCGCGCGAGAGCGAGAGCGAGAGAGGGATGGAAGGCGAGGAATGCAATCTGGGGTAAGTCGAGGAGTGAAACAGGCGAATGAGGAGGGGCGTCTGGCAGTGGTGGCGGGTTTGGCTTCTTTTGTGTGTGTGGCTCTCCTTGGACGGTGGGCAGTAAGTAGGTAGGATGAAAAGGATGGATAGTAGACAGTAGATTACGACAAAAGTAAGGAGCGTGGGCCAACTCTGGCAAGAGCAACGGAAGAGGAGGTGAGGTGAAGGAGTGTGGGCGCACGCGCACAGCGGTGATTGTGTTTGTGATTGTGTGTGTGTGTGTGTGAGGGTGGAGGGTGAGTGTGTGGCCGTAAAGGAAGGAATGCGACGAAGAGGAGGGCCCGACCGAATCCAGCAGACAAGAAAAGAGAGAGAGAGAGAGAGAGAGAAAGAGAGAAAGAGGGTGAAGAAGTGGGCCCACAGCTTGGGTAACTAACTACTCTACTAGAGTACGTACTACTCACTCACTAGTCATCATAATTACATACTACTCTCTCCCTCCCTCTCTCTCTCTCTCTCTCTCTCTCTTTCTCTCTCTCTGCTTGATGGCTGGAGCACAGTCTTTTTCTTCTCGCTCGCCGCTCGCCGGGCTCTCTGGGAGAGCGACAAGGCAATTCCAAGTTGGAGCCGGGGGGGGGGGGCGTTGAAGCTCAATTTCCACTAGCCTCCTCTCCGCCCGCTGCATGGCAAGGGCAAGGGCAAGGGCTTGGGCATGGGCATGGGCGCTTGACAAGTTGAGACAGCTGAGCTTCGACGCGCCTCCACAGGCTCACACAGGCTCACACAGGCTCAAACAAGAGCGCGTTGGCTGCAGCTGCTTGTGCCATGGTCTGGGGGTTGTGAATGATTCTATGGTGTTACAGGAGTAGGTACTGTAGCTGGGTATTGAACAGGGTCGCCACAACGGGTGCTAGCGTCTTTTGGGGGAGAAAGGGACGGACGGAGGAGCGAGGAGGGGCATTCCTCTTTCCTTGACCACTTTGGACTGGTTCCTTGACCTCCTCACGTCTCACCACACAGAGCCGGCACAGCATCCTGCTCTTGCACATGCAGCCTGCAGCATGCAGCATCCGCCACTTGTGATACAGTCCGTCAACGCATGCATTGGGGGTAGAGGATAGAGTTGGGTAGGACAGAGGACTTCCTCCTACGATCTACTTGGGCGGCCTGGGCAGTGTGAGTAGTTCTACTCCTATGGTGCACCCTCGGCTTCCCTCGTCCTCTCCAGCCAATCAGCGGAAACGGCTGCATTGTACCTTGCAGCCGCGTCGGGAGGGGCTGGGACGATCCCTGCGCGCTTCGCTCTTTCCCAACGCGCCCCTCCTTCCTGCCTGTTCCTGTCTTTGCAATCAAAATCTACCCAGCATGGAACAGGGCAAGTGAATGGACAACCACTCTATACTCTCCTCTTCCCACTTGCACTCACTTGGCCATGTCCCTCGACAGGGCTGCATCCTGCTTCCCAAGTAGGAGATACTGGCACTCTGCCATTTCTTCATGCTTCCAGACGTCCAGTCCAGTCCAGACTTCCATCATATCCCTACCCGCCTCATCTCCGTCAACCCGGTCCGCCCACGTGTCATCAGCCCATCCATTCCCCGCCCAACCATCTCCTCTTCCCTCACCAATGCTGTCTCTGCACGCGAAGAATGAAAAGAAGAAGAAAAGAGTGTAATGACCTCATCGCTATTGTGCTTGCTCATCAACACAGCTGCACCTCTCCGCGCCCAAACACACGAGACTGCCCTCCGAAACAAACAGGTCGCAGCAATGCCCTTGGCAGAGAATACCACAACCTGAAATCGTCTCGTGTCTATTCCCAGCCACCAAACGTTCGCCAGCCCGCCCGACCCTTTGTACGAAATTGCCTTTTCAACACTCACTTCCACTCTGAAACACCACAAACCTTGGCTAGCCACCTACTGCGTGGGCACGGTACATGGTACTCCGACAAACTATAGACGACATCATCATTCCTCGTCAGCACTAACCTGTTTCCTTTTGATGTAGTCGTGTTCAGATTCGACGCGACTACGATACCACTCATTGCCCCAAAACAAGTCCTCGTGTACGATTCACACAACACTGGTTCATATCCAACTCCCTATACGCCTACCAGATGACCAAAAAAAACATCTCTACAATTCCCTCTTGAGATTCTCAACGCCCTTGTCCAACTCCCGCTACAGTAGCTACCCCCACCCTCTACAATTCTCTCTTGAGATTCTCAACGCCCTTGTCCAATTCCCGCTACAGTAGCTACCCCCACACACCCTCCAACTCTCTCTTGAGATCCTCAACCATCCTCTCTCCCTCTCCCAAACTCATCATGGCCGTGGGTGCAAAGACACCGACATCCAGTGCACCATTGCGAATGCTGGCTTCAACATCAATCGCATGCTGTCTCCACATTAGCATCCACCTCAACCACTACACCAACCCCATACACGCCATGACTTACAAGATAGGCTCCATTCACAGATGCATTCGCCAACTTGCTCTGCATCCCTTTCCTTTCCACACTCTCCATGCTCGACACCCGGCTTACCGGCTCCTCCCACGCCTTCTTGGGCTGCACGCCAATATGCAAATGACTTCTGTACAACTCGTCGTCCTCATCCTCATCCTCGACCGGCAGACTCAGGAAATTGACAAATGTGTCCATCTGCACTCCCGTCCATTGCCAAATCTCGTACAGGCTTGCCGAGGTATTTTCTGGCGCGCTGATGTCTTGCAAATCCCTTTGAATGGTAGCGGCCAATGCCAGTATAGCACTTTGCTGTGGTGATGTTATCCGGAGCGGCAGCATCTTGACAGTCGGTATTGCGGCCGACGCAATCTTGTCAATGGGCATCGAGCGGTTGGCGAGGTAGACTCCAATGATGACATCGCTTTCGCTGGCCGTGCCCGTCATCCTAGCGTACAACTTCGCATAGCTGGCGAGAAAGATTGCCTGTGCGGATAGACCATGTTTCCGAACCATGGCCTCGAGGCCTGACGTCTGAAGCAGTCCTGGTCGGAACACTTCCGTCTTCTCCCTAGCCGTCTCGCAGGGTTGCGACAAGCCCTTGTTGCTCACGTCGTGCATGTATTCGATCCAAAAGGCTTTGCGCTTGTCCATGGTAGATTTTGCAACAGCATACGCCATCCATTCGGCAAAGCTGTCGGTGGGCGCTGCAGGTGCTGCCACACTATTGCACATACGCTTGTACTGCTGCATCAGAAGAGGCAGACTCACGCCATCGTACAGCGCATGATGGATACTCAGTCTCGCATCCCAGCCGTCTTGCCTTCTGGCAACAAAGAGGTGTGCCCATGGCTGTCTCGACCTGGCAGCTTCCCTCATTGCTCGACTGTCATCCTTGTCATGATGGGTTGTATCGACGATGAAGCCGGTCGTCTGGCGCAGTACCACTTGTACATACGGTGTTTCATCGTTCTGCGTCGGCGCAAATACCGTGCGCAGAATCGGATTCGCCCCAACAAGATCGTACCACGACTCTTGGAGCATTTCCCAACTTGCGCATCCGTCGATTTCATAGTCAAAATCCGAGTAGAAGCTTCCGCTTTGGGTGTTTAGCCACATTGAAATCATGTCAACTTGTCCTGCAGATGCTGGTAGCACATCACAAACATTGGCTGCATCAATCTTGGCTTCCTCCAGGATGCTTGCTTGGTCAAGGGCTCGCAACGCCGCTGAAATGGTCAATCGATAGTGCTCACCATCCTCAACCGTCTTCGTTGCTGTCGTTGTTCGTGAGGCAATGATATTGGCCATCTTGTCCACGGTGCCAGCTCGGACCATGTCAGCCACACCAAGGCTGATGCCCTCTTTACGAAGTAGTGAGGACACCTTGATGGCACTAATCGAGTCTAGGCCCATGTGGAAAATGGTCATGTCGCTTGTTATATCATCCTCTGGCGTCTTGGACACCTTGGCTAAGACTTCCCTGATCGTCCGAGTCGTGTGCGCGTCTGGTGCCATTCCGTCGTCATCTGTGTTTGCCTCCAATCTGACAGGGACGGCTTTTCTCTCGTTTTCAACAAACGCCGGTAGCCCACAGAGGGAAATGCCACTTTCCATGGTCGACATGACTGGACTGTCGGGGCTCTGCATGATGTGTCGGAGCACTTCATCAAGCCGGCCTAGCAAGCCTCTCGTCCCTTCGTCTGAAAGAACATCCTCTTTCACGGCGCATCGCCAAACCAGTCTTTCGTTTACAACCTCCATTTCTACACATACCGGATACTCCACATCACTGTAACCCTCCATACTTGTATACAAACGCTCCACTTCGGATGTCGTCCCTCCCAAGCTTTTCTGGTAGATGAATAAGCTTTCGAACAGACCCGCACCAACTCCGGCGAGTGATAATGCTTTGCGCAGTGGGAAATGTTGCCATTCTCTGATGCTCCTGAAATTGTCTTGCATGTATTGAAGCATGTCATTGCACGTGCCATGCAAGATCGCTCGGATCGGCACCGTGTTCATGGTCGGGAACATGAGCTGGGCTGTCTCTTCATCCTCTCGCCCAGACAGAACAGATCCAAAGGTCACGTCCAAGGATCCTGTATAGAAAGCAAGGACCATTGCAAAGGCCGCCTGTCCAACAGTCTGAAGAGCCACATTGTTCTTCTTGGCAAACGCGGTAAGCTGAATTAGAGAGGCGCAGCTGACTTGTTCATGGCGTTGCACAAGTGCTCTGCCCAACTTTACACCTTTGCTTCGCCTCGGAAATACACCCGTCTTTGCGTCATAGAGATAGTCTTGCCAGAAGCCAGCTGCATCCTTTCCAGAAGTTGATAGTATGTCTGCCAAGAGGTTGGCATAGCTTGGCCGACGTTCGAGCTCGTCGTAATATGCGCGATGGACATCCGAATGAAGCAGACCAAGTGACCAGCCGTCGTAAAGTGCATGCGCAATTGCCAAAACCAGATAGGACTGTCGAGGAGCCTCAACAAGTAGTATTCGAAATGGAGGAGTGGATACCGAGGTTTTCAGTGCATCGGTTCGTAACTGGTCAAGGAGTGTTGTAAAGTCCGCATCGGTCTCGGTATTCTTATGCGACCAAAATTCGTGTGGTCGCTGATACACGACCTGCGCGAATGTGAAATCAACAGTCGGGTCATCTACTTCAACGAAACCCGTGCGCAGAATGGGTGAAGCTTCAACCACTTGCGACCAAGCATCCCGCAACTTTAATTTGTCCGTGTCGTGCTTTACACTGAGCACATCGAAGTTGTAGTACCTTGTGTAATCAGACGCGAGCATCTCAGCTATCATGGCCTCCTGGAGTGGCGTCGGAGGGAGAACATTTTCAATGGCTACACCATCGATTTCGTGTCGTTGCAGGTAACCTGTGAGCAGGCGCTTCTGTTCATCAATGTAAAACGATGACGGGCGATCATGTACTTGCGTGTCTACCTCTGCCATGCCCTGCACCATGCTTGCGATGGTAAGGCCTCGCATGATAGCGCTGACCGGAAGATCGATGCCGCACCTCTTGAGCTTCGACGAGATTTTGATGGCATCGATGCTGTCCAGACCTAGCTCAAAAATAGATGTTCTTTCACTGATATCCCCGATTTCCATGCCAGAGAGACTAGCAACCTCCTCTCGTATTTTGGTGGCTGTGTTCGTCCATGCAAAGTCCATTGGCCGGGCGAAACCATCCGCCATATTCTCTCTCTTCAGCTTCTGATCAAAATTATTTTCTACTCCAGCCGGCAGCTTGACTTCGGTGTATGGATCTGTCAAGATTATACGCAAGTTGTCCTCGAACCGGTCCAAAAGCGTAATCGATGTTTGTTCATCTAGGACATGCTGCTGCGTGACCAAAGTCAGCTTCAAAGCATCCTGCGACCACTGCTCTACTTCAAGAGCCAGTGGATAGTCGGCCAGGGCATCTCCGTCGGTGATCTCCCATGCACTGTTCTTCGACCAATCCTCTGTTTGTTGAACGATCTGATAAACGAAGAGCGTCTCGAAGAGCCCTCGGTCACCACCTCTTCTACACCATTTCGTGATATCTCGCAACGGTGTATGCTGATATGGATGAGCAGCGACATTGAAGTCGTGGACTCTCTTGATGATCGATGCCCATGACTCGCCGTCCTGAGCCTGGTGATGATACGGAATGGTATTGAACAAGGGACCAATGATGCGGTCTGCACCCTCAAGATCGATACTGCGTCCTGAGACAATGAGCCCCGTGGTTACTACTGCCCTCGTGTATTCTTGCAGCACGTTCAGCCAACAAGCTTGCGCAATCGCTTGCGCCGTGACATTCAGTCTTCGCCGCATGGTATCGAATGATGCCAGACCTTCCAGCTTGCGCACGCTTCTCACCGGTAATGCTACTACCGGCCCTTCACTTGATGTTCCAGGAAATGGTGCGGACGACGATTGCGCAAGATGATTCTGCCAAAAGTCTTTTGCCCCAGATTGCGTCAGTAACGGGCCATAAACGAGGGCAGTGTGAAAGTCGGGGATAGGATCGGTAAGCTCTCCTCCGTTGTACACCTGCCACACCAAGCTGATCATAATTTCAATGCTGTGACCGTCATACAGTCCATGGAAGATGTGGACAACTAGAAGCCTTACGCTCGGGCTTGTGAGCATGTGAAGTTCGAGAGGCTGTTGTAGTTCATTACGGTTGCGCAACAGCCACTGGTTCTTAACATGATCCAATGTCTGACGTACAGAAGCATCTGTCGCGACTGCATGTGTGGACCAGACGAGTGGCTTTTTACGCAGCACTGCCTGAACATAGCCGTCCTCGGTATTGACAAACACCGTACGCAATATTTGTGCGTACTCGGTTACGCGTGACCAGGCAAGCTGCAGTTTCCTTGCATCAATGCTCTCGTTGAGCTTGAATTGGAAGGTGTTGAAATATAAGCCGAAGTCGTTCTCGAGCGATCGTGCGATCATACCCTGCTGAAGAGGTGTACATGGCGCGATTACCTCGATCGATGAAGAGCGTATGGATAGAGTTTGTGCGACAGATCTTCGATGACGATGGTGAATGGCAGAGATGGTTTGTTGTGCAGCCAGTACTGATCTCTGATCATTACTAGAAAGTCTGGTAGTTCTTAATGCCTTCGCTAGACGGCGGATGGTGGAGTGCTTCATGACCATGGAGGCAGTTGCTTTCACCATGCCAGCATTTCTCATGGCTCTTGAAATAGCAATCACGGATATAGAGTCCATACCTAGCTCGAAGAAGCTTTGGTCTTTATCCATGTTCAACTCACTAACATCCAGAGTTTGTGAGAGGACGCGACGAATTGCTTGCTCAGTGTTCGTCCATGAGTCGTCCCCTGTGCCCGAAGTAACCGACAGCATTTGTAATTCGCCAGCCGAGAGACCCTGAAAGAGATTCTTCAGTTGCTTAGCGTCAGCCTTGTTGTTCATGTTCAGTGGCATACTAGTGAGTGACACGAAGTGAGTTGGGACCATATATGATGGAAGCTTGTCGTGGCATGCTTCTTTTGCTCGCAATATTTCTTGTGTTCGGCTGAAAGAGAGCTCTGTCTGACGGTTCGCTTGGCTTCCAACAACTAGGAAGGAGACAAGTTGTTCTTTCTGCTGTCTCGGATGCTTGAGAACTAGGGTTGCGACATCTGCAATGTCGCTGCTCGACTGTCTGATCACCGAGTTGATCTCACCAACCTCCAGCCTTTGACCACGTAATTTGACTTGATCGTCCGCACGGCCGAGAAAGTCGAAGGATCCATCGTGCAGTATCCTCACGAGGTCACCTGTGCGGTAGACTCGTTCCCCGAAGCGCTCAAGATATGGAAATTTCTCGGCAGTGAGATCTGGGCGGTTGAGATAACCTTTGCCTACGAGCTTGCCTGTCACGCAGAGCTCGCCGACGCCTCCTCGAAGAACCGGTTGATCTGAGCCAAGCTTCAACACCAACGATCCCACATTGTCGAACTGCCACCCGATGTTTGACGGTTTGCCGTTGGTCGGAACACGAGGGTACATCGTGCACCCAATCGTAGCTTCTGTCGGCCCGTAGCCGTTGTAGATCACAGACTTTGACCCCCATACGTCAAGAATCTCTTGCTTCAAGCTTTCTCCACCAGTAACAAACACACCTTTACATAGGCTTGGCACATCGTCCGGATGTAATATCTGGGCCAGACTGGGTGTTAGGTCGATGTGTGTTATCCCAAGAGCGTTGATGGAATTTGCAAGATCTTCAAAGATGAAATCTCGGGGCGCCGACACCACGCAGATACCTACTGACCAACTCCAGAATTGCTCAAGAACTGAGACGTCGAAGTGAAATGAGGCAAACTGCAACCAGCGTGAGTCTGGATCCCAATGATTGGCGAACAAGCGTTGAAAGGACAACATTGCCTGGACAGCGTTCTCATGTGTCAATTCGCATCCTTTTGGTGTACCGGTGGTGCCACTGGTATACAAGCAATAGCTACGGTCTTGTGTGCTGACGCTTCTCTGAAGCATTGGCTTTCTGCTCGAGAGAGAGCTAGTTGTAATCTCATCAAGGTTCAGGATCGGTATGTGGGCTTCGATCCCCAGCTGGGAAGACTGGCTTGACTTCGACAATACTGCGCGAGCATCAGAATCTTTGACGATGAATGCCTGACGTGCAGCTGGAGCACTCGGGTCGATGGCGACGAAAGCACAACCAGCCTTGAGTATGCCAAGCATGGCAAATGAAGCTTGGGGACATTTGTCGAAACAGACACCAACTAGCATACCTGGCCCAACTCCGCAAGAGATGAGGAGATGAGCAATTCGGTTCCCCTCGGCATCAAGCTCGGCGTATGTCCAGCGCCTAACAGAAAATCGACCATTGTGTATCGAATGTGCAAATTCTAGTGCGATACGAGAAGGGAATTTTGCCGCGGTTCGCTCTACCAGCTCGTGCAGTAAGTGTGCTTCCGATGGTAGTTTCGACTCTTTCGCGGGCGTGATGGAGTACAGGTTGGAATCACTGACGACTTCTTTTGCAGGTATGGATCGATCGAAGATGAAGCTCTCCATCAAATAATCCATCTGATTGAGAATGAGGAGAGCCTGCTCGCGAGGTACCACATCCGGGAGAAAAGTAAGGCGATACTCCAAGTGCCCCTGCTTTGGTTCGATCTCAATAGATAATGGATATTCAATAGTACCCCTTTCGTCGACAATTTCCCAAAGGGTTTGGGCGAGCTCCTCTTTAGGCGACTTCTGAAAGGCGAAGATTGTGTCGAAGAGAGGCTCGCTCGCATAGCCCATCAATTTTTGGATCTTGTTGAGCGGAATATACTGGTGCTGTTGAACCTGTGCATTCAATGACATTGCCGCCTTCAGCACTTCCCTTTGATCGGTCGATGTGGCGATTGTAAAGGGCACCGTGTTGATGCAAGGGAAAATGGCATTCTCAGCAGCATCAAAGGTACGTCCAGAAAGCACAACTCCGCAAGTCACTGAATCTTCTCCAGTATATGCGGAAAGCAGCGAAAGCCAACTCGATATACCAGCGGCCTGTAGTGTGATATTGGCACTCATACAACCCTGTTCAAGATCGATGAGTGCGCTTGCTGATCGTTTGACACAAATCGTGGGTGGCGTAGGGTCTAATCTTAGGGACGATAAGTTAGGAAATCGGGACGGTTTGACTTTCTTCCCCAGTGCGGTCCAGAATCTCATGCTATCTCTGTTTTTTTCATCACATAGAGATAGAATACCACTAATGACGGGTTCCAAGCTAGAAGGTGACAAGTTCGGTTGTCCCCCATATTCCGATGCAACATCATTGAAAATCAATTGGAGGCTTTGTGCATCAAAGAGAGCATGAAAAATGACCAGATTGAGGTATCGATCTCCATTTGTTTGGCTGACCTGAATTGCCCATGGCGGCTCATGAAATTTGCTCAAGGCACGCCGTTGGTGCTCGTGTATCCATTCTTCGGACACATCAAGGGCTTCCGATCTTGAATCTACCGTCCATGGTAAATTTACAGCAGTTGTGTCAAATGTGATCATGACAAATGGATGCTCAGGGTTTTTCGTATGGGCAAAGCCAGATCGAAGTATCTCATGCCGACCCATCGTTGCGGTCCATGCATCCCGTAGCCTTCCCACGTCAACACGATGATCTAGTCGCAGACGGAGATAGTTCATGTAAACAGATCCTTCCTTCGCGATGAATTGTGACAGCATACCCGTTTGGAGTGGTGTACATGGTCGAATGGCGCAAATTTTGCTATGATCAATCTCGCAGATTTTTGACACTGACTGTTCATGCTGTCGGTGAAAGGCCCCGAAGTCGAAATTTGCAAATGCGGTTAATCTTGCTGAACCATCCTGACCAATCCGTGTAGCGATTTCCGAGCAAGTGGCGTACTTCATGACATCGCTAGCTGTCACTATATGACCTTTGCCCCGAAGGACAGCTGCTATTTGGGTTGCACTAATGCTGTCCAGTCCAAGCTGGTAGATTGTAGTCACTGGGCCGATGTCCTCAACTGGAATCTTGGATAGATCCGCAAGAATAGTACGGACTTGACCTTCAAGATGTGTCCAGTTATGCTCTGTTCCTTGCTTGGCATTGCCATTGGCGACGGTGTCCTTATCGATCTGGTCGCGGAAAATTGTGGAGAGTGCATGTTTGTCAATCTTGCCAGCCATTGACCTTGGAACCGCTTCGATGAAGATGAAGAATTGAGGTACCATGTATGAAGGTAGCTGGTGGATAGCTGCGTCCCTGAGTTGTGTTCTCATATTGGACTCTTTCTCTTGACCCAATGGCGATTTCGTCACAACGAATGCGACCAGCTGCTCCCTTGACGCCTTATCCCGTTTCAGAATCTGCGTAGCTATAGTCTTGATATCGGGGCAAGAGTTTCGAAGTGCGTGGTCAATTTCACCAAGCTCCACCCTTAAGCCCCTAATCTTCACTTGATCATCTGCACGACCAATGAACTCGAAATTGCCGTTGCTCAGCATTCGAACAATATCGCCACTTTTGTAAAACCTTTGGCCTCGTATGTGGATGAAACGATCATCCGTCAGTTCGGGTTTACCTAGGTAGCCGCGTGCTAGTTGTGTGCCCCCGATATACAATTCGCCGGTACTCAGTACTGGTAGTGGACAGTCCGCATTGGCAGGTAAAATGGCAAATGAAGTACTTGGGAAAGGCCTTCCAATGACTGAAGTGTTGGCCTCACCCGAGGCTGTGAAAATTGTCGTGCAAAACGCGGCCTCGGTAGGCCCATAGGAATTGACACATGTACTGCCCCATTCCTTGATCACTTCCGGTGACATCGCTTCACCAATACAGTAAAGCCATTTTATACTGGGTACCTCTGATCTCCGCAACGATGCTGCAACTGATGGCGTGAGGTCAAGCAGTTCAACACCCAGGGTGTCGATGACTTTTGGTAATTCGTTCAGTAAAAGTGCTTGTTCTGCAGCACAAAGAGTGAATCCTAAAGTCCAAGCGAGGAAACAATCGAAGTAACACATATCGAATGTTACAGCGGCATATTGTAGCAGACGGGATGTAGGTTTCCATGGAACTAAAGGTCTGGAACTTGCAATCGTCTGGATTGGGGCACAATGTTCCATGCTGACCGCTTTTGGTGTACCTGTGGAGCCACTTGTGAAGAGACAGTACGCCAAACTATTGGTATTCAAGCCGTGAATAACAGGGTTTTCCTTTGGAGAGTAGTCAATACGCTCCACATCAAGGCTAAATGCTCCGTCATGCTGAATGGCTGAACCAGTGCAGCATAGGATGATGCGCGGCTTCAGCTCGTTGAGCATAAATTCTTTGCGGGCCATTGGCAAGTCGGGATGAATGGGGGCGAATGCCGCTCCAGCCTTCAGTATACCAAGTATGCTAGCGTAGAAATGCGGGGACTTGGGGCAGTGGAGAGGAATAATAGTTTCAGGTACTGCACCGTTTTTTATGAGCGTATTCGCGATGGCGTTTGCTCTGTCATTTAATGTTTTGAATGACCAAGTCGTCCGAGTCTTATCCAGATGCAGAAAGTCCAACGCAACTTGTTCGGGATTGGCGGCTGTTATCTTTTCGAAGCCGGTATGTAGGTAAGGGTCTTCTGTTTTGCAGCGCTGAAACTTCGAGTTGGACTCTGCTCGAAGATATTCAGGAATACTAACAGTGTCATTGGCCGAGGCATGAGGCAATCTAAGTAGTGACATGAGTGTATGGTCGAAAGTCTCTGCAACGACCATAGCGTCCGTATACGACAGCAGCGATGTATTATAATGAAGCACGAGCTTCAGACAATCTTCAGTCTCGTCCTGCTGGACTTCACATACAATAGGTAAGTCCATGTCGCCAAGATCTTTCTCAAGTGTCCAAATGGAAGCATCTAAGCTAGCAACAGGTTGCTGAAGGATGACGAGTGTGTCGAAAAGGCGGCCGCCGTCCCTGAGTATTTTGCTTTGTATCCAACGGAGAGGTGTTAGCTGAAATGCAAGCATCTCGATGTTGAGCGCATGCGTCAGTCCGACCAGGTCCGAATTTGTTTGTCTGAAGTCGAAGTCAACTCGCACAGGTAGAGTATTAAAGCAAGGAGCCACAAGACGATGAATGTCAGCGCTTGGCAGATTGCGTCCATTTACGACATTTCCGAAACATATATCGGACTCGCCTGTGTAGAAATATAAGAGCTTCGCCCAAGTCGCTTGGACGACGGATGATAAAGATGTAGAAGCGTCTTGACAGGCCCGACGTACCTCCCCAAGAGGTTGGAGAACCTTCATCACACTAGCTGGACGTCCGACGGACTCAGTGTTTGCACCCGTCAGATTAGGAAAAGAGGTAGGCTCAAAACCACTCAGTAACGCGCCCCAGTATCGATCAGCTTCTTTGAGGTCCTGCGATAGCATCGCTTGTAAATATGAATCATATGGTATGGGAGGAGGGAGGGCGGTGCCTGTATACAGTAGTTGGATCTCTTCGAGGAGTAACGCAATAGCGCTACCGTCGTACAGGGCATGATGGCAGCCGAAGACCAGCTTTGACAAGGTCCCTTCACGCGCGATAGCGAGATATATTGGCGGTTCATGCGCAGTGAGAAGAGCTGATATAGTCTTCTCAATGTACAACTCTAAATTTGTGCCTACAGAGGTTGAATGCCATTTTGAAGTCGAAAGTTCCAACACAACTTGGGCAAAAGCATGTGAGGGATAATTGGTAGGCATGAAAGCTGTGCGGAGGATTTCGTGCCGATGGATTACTGACGTCCAGCTTTCTTGAAGTCTTTCCAAATCGCCATTCACCCTGAAGATCATGACATTGCAATATGCTGAGCCTGAACTTGAACTAGTGCTTGAAAGCATCGCCTCTTGAAGGGGTGTGCAAGGTAGGATTCGGGCGACTCGCGATCCTCGTTTCTCAAAAGTTGAGACGATTGCAGAGGTCTCGTCCACTGTAAACATGTGGGGGAAATTGATCGGAGGAAACTTTTTCTGCTCCTTAGGTGATAGCTGCTTGTCTTTTATCGTGGATAATCGGGCTATGCTAGGATTCTTTAGGACTGTAGTGACGGAAAAGTTCGCTATTGCTGTATGCCTGAGATCATTGCAGAATCTTATTGCAGAAACAGAATCAAGACCGAGATTGAAGAATGATGTTCCCTTTCTGATGTCATGGATCGGCAACGACAGAATTCTGCTCAAGATAGAGGCCACGGATTGTTCCCACTCTGATAATTGCGATACATCCCCGCTTTCATCTTGATAACTTGTAGTGTCGGCCAGTTCTTTTGCTGTCAAGGCTCCAAACGTTCTCTGAAGAACTCGTCGATCTATTTTGGCTTGTGTGGTCATGGGGAGGCGCGAGATTGGTATGAAATGCAGCGGGACCATGTACGACGGAATTTTGGAAGACAATGTGTCGAACATTCTTGAGATGGTAGCTTGGTGTTCATTCGTATCTAGGAGTTGATAAGTCTGGCAGATGGTATCCTTTGGCACCCAGAAGTTGACCAAGGCTGGCCTGTCATTGCGGCCCGGCAGTAAGCAGGTCACACAATCACGAACCCCGATGACATCGAGGGCTACAGAAGTTATCTCTCGGAGTTCGACCCGTTGGCCGCGAATCTTGACTTGGTCATCTGACCTGCCCACAGAGAGGATATTGTTGTCCGGCAACATAAGGCCCATGTCACCAGATCGATAAATTCTGCCGTACGTAGGGTGGTTTATAAGCTTCATGGCATTAAGTTCGGGCTTGTTGAGATAACCGCGAAACACCTGCATGCCTCCGAAACACAGCTCTCCAACAGCACCACGAGGCAAGATCGAATCGCCGTTTAGGGCCATTACAAAAGCGGACGTGTTAGTGAACGGCGACCCAATATTATTAATCAAGTCATCAATTGTGACAGAGGGTCGAAGAGTGCAGATGTTGGTCGTCTCAGAAGGACCATAACCTATTCCTCTGTCAGTTTACGAAGGCAATTCCGTTGGATAATCATACCCTGGTAAAGACCGCGACCAGCCCATTTTCTTCGAACATGTTCCGTGAGTCCTTCACCGGCAGTTACCAGGAATTCTACTCTTGGTACGTTCTTGGGATCTACCAAAGCTGCCACGGTTGGTGTGAGACTTAGATGTGTGATCTGAAGACGACGGATAGAAGCTTCGAGATCATGAAACAGATCATCTTTCGTAGCTGTGCATAAGCATATACCAACATACCAAGAGAAGAAGATTTCGAACACAGAAACGTCGAAGGCTTGCGAGCAGGCCTGTAGAAGTCTCGCATTTGTCGAATACGGATAGACGCCTGATAGATACTGTAGATTACTCATTAGGTTATCTTGAGTCACGAGAACGCCCTTTGGTGTACCAGTGCTGCCACTTGTGAAGATGGCGTAGGCGAGGTGATGTCCATTGTAAGCGGTTTCGAGGTTCCTGTCAGACCACAATCCAATGTCGATGAGATCGACTTTGACAATAGTCAAAGAAGGGATCTGTGGTAGGTATGTGGATAAGAGGGATGAACTGATGCAAAGCGCAACATTGGCATCCTGCATGATAGTGCAAATCCTCTCGGTCGGCGTGTCAGGCACAAGTGGTAGGTAGCCACATCCAAGCTTCAGCACTGCAAGAATTGAGACGTAGAGGTCTACAGACTTTTCCAAAACGACTCCAATCAGTTGATCCTTCTGGGTGATATAAGCGGAAAGACTGCGAGCAAGTTGATTTGCGCGTGTGTTTAGAGTCGCATATGTGACCGCTTCCTTCACCTGCATGATGCCATCTACAAGATGTCCGAAACATATCGCCTCACGGTCTGGATCGCTCATAGCCCAATTTTCAACGGCGTGTGATGGACCATGTTGGAAATGTTCTTGAGGGGGACTCGGGTTTGCGATGGAAAGAGAGGATGCAGTGAAGCAGCAATCGATGGCAGACATCGTGCATGTGGCATTCTTCAGAAACGATGACACCAATTCATCAATCTGAAGAGACCAATACTTGATCTGCTGCTCTGGAATAGTGGCAGGATCGTAGGTGGCGCGGAAAGAGATGAAGTCTTGACTGGTCTCAAACTCGAGTGTAAGCTTCATCTCAGAGTCGTCGGCGCTATCGATGATCTTGGTAGTGAGCGTATCGTCACTGCAGTTGGCAAGAGGCTGCTGCCAGACAAACAGGATGTCAAAGAGACGGGTGCCTGGCTCCACACCAGCCGCTTTCGCAATCTCGCGCAACGGGTATGCACTGTGCTCTAAGCTTTTTCGATTCAGTTGCTGGGTCATTTCTAGAAGATCTTGGACCCGAGGGACGTCTCCGAGATTCATTCTGCATGGCAGCGAGGCTATACAAGGCCCGATGATTTCTTCTATCCCTGTGACAGGAATCGTCCTCCCTGACACAACATTTCCAAACGTCACGTCGTCTGATCCTGTATACCGTGACAAAAGAAATGCGGTGGCAGCCTGGAAGTATACTTGGGGGCTCACGCCAAGTTCACGAGCTTTTTCGAATAATAAACTGGCCTTGACCCGCGATTTCTGGGAGAAACGCCGAAGGGTTTCCCCGTGAAAGATTTTACCGTTGTAGTTCCAGAGTGTAGTAGGGACGAAATCAAGAAATTGTTTACTCCAGTACAGTTTTGCTTGGGCACGCTCGTGCTTCGAGATACCATGGGAAAAGTGTTGAGCAACATCCTGAAATTGTGGTCGAGGCGCAACTTCTTTCTTGTGCAAATACTTGAGGAGATCTTGGAGTAGGAGTTCAAATGACCACCCATCGTATATTGCATGATGCAACTTGAATAAAATCCGCGGTCCTTCCGGGTCCATCCTGATATCTATGTTCAGTGGACGGAGCAATGCGTCTCCTGTCGTTAGCGCACGAGAGTGAGAAAATCCTGAGACCTTGCGGATCTGTGAACAGGAAAACCGCTCCCAAACTACCTGCATATAGCTTCTGGTATGATCGGTAGCTGGTGCAAACCCTGTCCGGAGGATCTCGTTGTTCTGGCAAATCAACAGCAGGCTATCGCGAATCTCAGTGTACGATGTGTAAGGGCATGAGAGTCCCACTTCGATCCAATTCCAGTACGCTTTGGAACGAGTGGATGTTTCCGCGAGCATAGCTTCCTGTAATGGAGTACAAGGAAGTGTTCGTGTGATCTGGTTCTCAAGGTGCGGGGGGAGGGATGAGGTCGTATCAAGGTGGCCACTGTTGCGGATGCCATGATCGCCATTTGATGTATCGTTGGCTCTTGTACAAGAAGCGCTGTCCACCGGGCGTATGAGGTCTGAGATGTTGATGGCATTCGTTGTGTATGTGCCATTGGATTTACACGTACCGTTCATGCCAGATGCGCCATTGATCTCGCTAACATTATTCCGTGTACATGTACCGTCCGAGCCATGCGGTATTTTTGAATTGTAGCTTGCGTCTGGTGAATTCTTTCTATTTGCCGTGCTCTCACTATTGATGCGTAAAACAGCTTTGCAATTGGCGAAGAGATCGGCGACCGTGTCAGATTGAAGGACGTCTATTGCACTCAGGTCAAATCTTTCTCGCCTCAATGCGGATGCGAGTCTAATGGATTGGAGTGAATCTATTCCAATGGCAGCGAGACTCATCTGCGATTCGATCTCTACCTTCGTATAGTTTTGAAGTAGTCGTACGATTGTGTTTTCGATTGAATCTTTTGAAGTCGGCTTAAATGCCCCGTTGATCAAAGGTTTGGGCTTGTACTGGGCCTTTAGTAAAGCCCGATCGATCTTCCCTGATGGCAGCTGAGGTACCCTATCTATGAAGCAAATGTCTGACGGTACCATGAAGCTTGGCAGCCAGTTGTTGCAGTAGTCGAGCATCATTGATCGCGATACTGTATCTGGATTGATCGTGCAGAAGGCAATAAGGTGGTCGTCGATAATCATTACAGTAACTGTGCGACATCCATTGATCCTCATAATGACTTGCTCAATCTCCCCAAGCTCGACTCTTTGGCCACGCAGTTTGACTTGGCCAACCGTGACGCGGCCTAGACATTCTAGACAACCATCGCTGCGTAGCCTCGCCCGATCTCCTGTTCGATATATGCGACCATACTGTGGGTGATCGACAAACACTGCGGCGGTCAGCTCCGAGCGATTGAGATATCCATCAGCAATCTGGAGTCCACCGATTGCAAGTTCTCCTATTTCTCCAGCAGGCAGTATGCGAACACCCGCAGAAACGATGGTTTCTGATATTGCGATGATAAAGGCCGAAACCGTATCGAGGGGGAAACCAATGTTAGCGATCGTCGACCGAGTTGATAGCCGCGGCTGTAGGGTGCAGTGAATCGCTGCTTCGGTAGGACCGTACATTGCCCATAGTATGCTCTCCTTGAAATCATCGCCACCAAATTCATCCACCACATGCTGAGTGAGCATCTCGCCAATTGTGAGGAGCAACTTCAACCCAGGAACACTAGATCTTCCTTGAAGGAGATTGCTGACCACTGTCGGTGTGAGTTCGGCAGCGTCAATTTCAAGCTCATTGATCCATCTGGGAAGATCGTCAAGCATTTGTGCTCGACTGCAGCTGACCAACGTACGTCCACGGAACCAAGGGAAGAAGATTTCGAAGATGGATACATCGAAGGTAGGCGCAGCAAACTGCAGAAAGCGTGCAAAATGTGGGATATGTCGATCATGCGCTAATAAGCTCTGAGTGACGGCTCGGTGTGAGACTTTCACAGCCTTGGGAAGCCCAGTGGACCCGCTCGTATACAGTACATAGGCTAGGTCGTGTGGCCTAGCATGAGGCAGAATCGATTCCGCCAAAGAAGCCTCGGACAGTTCGCGATCCGCGAGAATGGCCTGTAGATCTGTCTTATTTCGCAATTGTTCGTGGCAATGTGACAGTGTAATGAAGAAATCGGCAGATATATCCTGGAGGATGAAGTTGAGACGTTCGGCAGGCGTATCCAGGAGAAGTGGGCAGAATGCTTTGCCAGCCTTCAGTACAGCAAGCAAGACTACGTATAGTTCTGGACACTGAGGGATAAGAACCGGAATGACAGGAGAGGCACTTTCGAGCTTCGCCGATATTTCGTTTATTCTGCCGGCTAGAGCATTGCTCAAACTATGCAGATTCTTGTAGCCAAATTTCCGCCTCTTCGTTCCGTTTTCCAGGAAGTCAATGGCGGGTGTGTCAGAATCTGATTGAACCAGGTCGTGTAGAAGCAGTGGACCCTCGAGGGTGGCCGGGTGTTCATTCAGTATGGATAGGTGGCTGGATGCGACGTTGCTGTGGACCATTTTGAGGAGTCCGAATTAGGAAGGTTTTGTACCTGGAGATGGTAGGTACTGGTAACGCTCAAGATGCTCGATAGCCACACTACGCAACAACACGTCTGCGCAGTCAACACGAAGTGCGCTCGATGCAAAGGCGCCCTGAGCAGCTGCACTTGAATGTTTGCAAGTCAATGCCTTTTGGCAGGCATGAATGAGTGATGAGAAACGGCAGCGCACTGATTGGTCGACAGGCCAGAGTACCTTCTCACAAGTACCTAGAGAGGTATCCAAGGCTGCTATACACGTGAGAGCGGGTTCTCTTCCCTTGTCGAGGGCGCGTCAAGCACTGGTTGGTAGGTATGCCACAGCCGCTCCTGAGAATCGAGCTACTAAGGTCATCCCATAACACGAGTGTGGGTATTGCTGGACGACGTGTGAGGGAGCGTGATCAACGTAACGAGAGCAAGGGCGATGATGGTATTGAGGGCTGGTTTCTGCGACCGGCTGCTACGAATGAGAATGTGGATTGCTGCCTTGGATCGGGGTGGTGAGCGCGTCGTCGTCTACAGGTCGTGGCGTCGTACATTCGCATCAAAGACAGCGTTGGACAGATTACGCATGACGGCAAGTCGACGGATCTTGCTAAGATTCTAGGTACCATGTACCGGTACCAGTACGGTAGGGACCTGAGACTGGACATCCGCCGAACGCGCGCAAGAAGCGCGAAAAGCTTTACGTACTTGTAGAAGCGAATCGCCACAGCAGAGCCAAAGGCTCCACTGCTAGCCACTACAGTCTAGCAGCCTCTGAAGTCGTCGCGCGAGACGGCAAGGTGCAAATAGAATAGCACAGTAATGGGGTGGCTAGGTGACGCGATGGACAACATTCCCGCCCGCCCCACGCAGACTGCGGATTCTGTGTGTCAACCGCAAAACACACCGTCGCGCTTCGGTCACAGTCTCGGATCAGTCAGCAATTTCGGGCTTTATGCCGCCAGTCACACGCTGGCTGCACGGGATGATGATGGAGGGGAGAAAGCTGAAGTCAAGCATGTGCGCGAGTCAGGACGAAATGGGGGTTCTCGACCGAGTCATCCCACAACTCCATCAGATAACTCGGATCCGATCATCTGATTACTAGCCGTCGTTGGTCGTCGGCTGCTTGATCCCAGATCCAAGCCTGGCCGCTGCTTTTTCTTCCAAGGTTTCCTCAAGGGGGGCTGGCTGGACAAGGTTCACGAAGACGCTACCTACTGCATGCACATGGAAAGCAGCCATGGATGTAGTAGTACCTAGGCACGGCATGTAGTATGTATGTACATGCTTTAACTACCTAGATACACACACAGTACACATGTACATGTATGTATACTCTACCGTACCGGTAGTTGGACTGACAGTATCATGCATGCCTTGGCTGCTACCTAGCACTAGCAACACCCTTCGCCATCCACATACATGTAGATACCGGTACTAGGTACTGTACTATGCACGGGTAGGTAGGTTCTAGGAACCTACCTTATAATACACCGCATCCCCCACATCGAACTCGCAAGAGACAGAATAATGACACTGCCATGGGCCTATGGTCGACAGCAGAGCTACGATACTACTACCATGCCCACTGGGCCGCTTCTTCGTCAAGACGCAAGTCTCCACGGGCAACCCTCGGCAAGGAGCCGGCAACCTTCCAGGGTTCTATTCGGAAGATGGGATGTGTGGAGGAGTCGCCAAGGTGACGCTAACCTAGTTTGAGACTTGTCGAGCTTCCAGGTGCCATTCGGTCTCAACGCGACTCATCGCGAACGCATCACCAACAACATCCTCTCCATGGCTTCTGTCGTCTTCGAAGCGAGTGACCGCTGCAACTCGTTTTCCATTGCGAAACCCCGTATGTGTACTTGATCACAATGCACTACTCATCTTCTCTCGGTGGCGCATACACCGCGAGCCCAGACGACTCTGATGATGGTAGCTCTGAGACACAACTGCTTCTTAGTTCTGACAGCGACATCGAGGACGAACTTTCTGTCCGTCAAAGTGCACAATGGGAGAGGCAAATTGAGCCGTCGTTGGCTACTGTGCAGCCGCAAGCATTTCAGGGCGTGACCACGTTTCGACAGCAGTTCATCCGACAGATTTTGGGTCTCAATCCCTTCAAGACCTCTTATTTCGCCCTGTACAGCTGTTTGGACGATGCTGGATCGAAGGGAATTCTTGCTCTGGGCATTGGTCTTGCCATCTGCGCAGGCGTTCCTCTACGTACGTAAATCTCCTCGTCTACAAAACGGGCATCGGGAAGAAGCCGTAGCTATACGCATGTAAAGTTCGACCTTCAACTAGAACATGGCGCCCCGTCCACGGGTAGGCCTGACATCGTTCCTCCTCGGTTTGATGCTGACGGAAACCGCTATTCAAGCACTCATCGGCGTGATTCTTGGCAAAATCATCAACTCATTTCCCCCACCACAAGACGAGTTGAAGCAGCTGCTATATCGCCTCATGACGGTAGCGGTTGGCTATTTTGCTGTTACATGGGGATGGGCTGCCTGTTGGGCAGTCATCGGGGAGCGGGTCAGCCGCAAAACCCGCGAAAGGCTCCTTCACCGCGCCCTTGGCATGGACATGGAGTATTTCGGTCAGTATGAATTTGCATTGATTCGAATTTGACAGCTACTGATGCACCTATCCGCCGATCAGATACTGTATCTCCCGACATGACTGGCATTCTTACCGAAAAGACACAAACAATCCAATTAGGAACGTCCGAAAAAGTGGGATTGTTCATCGCATCCATAAGCTACTTTATTTCCGCATTCACTATTGGTTTCCTTCTTAATGCAAGACTCACTGGCGTTATGTAAGATTGATTGTATACGGTCCAAAATGCACAGACATTTGTGACTAACCTACTTCACAGGTTTGTCACGGTGATACCTGCTATGGCCTCGATTGTCTACTTTGGCACCAAATCAGTCTCCAAATTTACCAAGCAAGCTAGTATGTACACTGAGAAGGCGGCTTCAGTCGCAGAAAGTGCCATTCGAGCTGTCCAGATCGTACAGGCCTTCGGTCTGTTTGAGCAGCTCAGTGAAGAACATGTTGGCTACCTCAGATCTGCGTTGCGTGTTGGAATTCGCAAAAGCATCGCTGGTGCTCTCATGCTTGGCTCTGTCTACTTTGTGGCTTACGCAACAAATGCCCTGGCTTTCTGGTACGGTGATCAATTACGAGACGGTAGTGCGGAAGCTGGCACGATTTACGCAGTTGTATTCCTCATCCTTGACGCATCTTTTGTTGTTGGATCGTTCGGACCCTTCATACAAACCTTCGCCATGGCTGCAGCCGCAGGCGCTGCCGTTTCAGAGGTGCTCAGCCATCCTCCTAGTGACATCGATGTTTACTCCACGAAGGGAAAACCAGCCCTAAAGTCGCATTTTGAAAACGAACTTGTGTTTTCAGCCGTCTCATTTGTTTACCCGGCTCGCCCGACCGTTCGAATATTGGACGGTGTGGATCTTCGTATCGCGCCTGGCAAGGTTACCGGATTAGTCGGACCTTCGGGATCAGGCAAGAGCACAGTGACTTCACTACTGCTCAGATTCTATGATCCCACCTACGGCAGTGTCTCTCTTGGAAACACCGACCTGAAAACTTTCAATATCCAGAGTCTGCGCTCACACATTTCACTTGTTTCACAAAACCCGGTGCTTTTCAGCGGAACAATCCTCGACAATATTATGCATGGTAGGCCACACGGATATCCAATTCTGTCCTGTTCACATGCTGAAACTAGTGAAAACGCAGGACTGCCAGACCGCGAGCACATATCGGAAGAAGAGGCCGTTGAAAGATGTAGAGAAGCAGCTAACGAGGCATATTGTGACTTCATAGATCGTCTTCCAGATGGCCTATATACCAAGATCGGCTCGGGCCCTCAATCTCAATTATCCGGGGGACAGAAGCAGCGTATTACATTAGCTCGTGCTTTGGTGGGTGCTCCAGCGCTCCTCTTGCTGGACGAATTTACCAGTGCGATGGATGGTAAGTGCGCTTCCAGTATGCCGTCTTGGCGTAACACAGCCTCCCTTCGATCATGTTGGGTCAATCTGGGGGTTTAGACTTCGATGCTGCCACCAAGTTAATGTGTGTGTATGCATGCTGTACTTCAAAGCCCGCTGGACCCTATATCTGGATCATGACGATATCATCGTACTAATTGTATTCCCAGGAACGAGTGAAGCCATCGTCTTGGAGAACTTGAGGCGCTCCTCAGCAGCTACCGGCCGCACGACAATCATCATTGCCCATCGCCTCGCCACTGTCCGAGACGCTGATCGCATAATCGTTCTAAAGGACGGTGTAGTAGAGGAAGATGGACAGCATGAGTCATTGATGAGAACAGACGGCATTTATGCAGAGTTGATCAGAGCCCAGCAGTTTGATAAACGTTCTCGACCATCTGCTGCGTCGTCAATTCGATCTAACCCCCGATCAAAGCTCCAAGAGGATGAGCATGTCCGTCATCAGACGGGTGATTCAAACCCGGAAAATACACTCTCCGCCCAGAGTCAACCCAAGAAGAGTGCCATTGAGCTAATTGGCAGGTCCATCGCGCTTAGTCGCGATGAGGCTCCCGCTATCGCTATAGGGCTGGTCTCCTCTGTCTTCAGCGGCAGCATTATCGTTGGAGAAGCGATAATATTTGGCAATCTTGTTGAACTCCTAAACGACACATCGGGGTCCGACGAGTTGACAAGACGTATTGCTTTCTACTGCTCGATGTTTTTCGTTCTTGCCATTATTGCTTTGGTGTCGCACTCATGTGGTAAAACGGCGTTCGGCATTGTGTCCGAGAATCTGACGTTGCGAGTGCGTGACCTTTCATTTAGGACCATTCTCCAGCAAGACATCGCTTGGTTCTCGAGACCAGGACACTCCCACCACGCACTCATGTCTCGCCTCAACGCGGACAGTGGTAGCATCAGTGGTTTGTCTGGCGTCATATTGGGCACAGTGTTTTCTGTGGCAACTTCGGTGATTGGAGGCATTGTCTTGGCTCATGTGGTGGCCTGGAAGATTGCGGTCGTTTTACTAGCCGCCGTGCCGGTCATGCTCCTTGCTGGCTTTTTACGATTGCGAATTTTAGCTCTTGCAGAGGAGCACCACCAGACAGCATACAGTGATGCAGCAGCTTTGGCATCAGAGGCAACTTCATCTATGCAGATCGTCGCAGCATTCCGCTTGGAATCCCATATTCTTGAGCAATACCAGGAGGCGATCCGCAAACCTTACGAAGATCATCTGAGATTCAGTATTCTCGGCAACATCCTGCTCGCCTTCTCGCTGAGCGTGACGTACTTCGTCTACTCTTTAGCATACTGGTGGGGATCAAAGCAAGTTCGCAACGGGAATTACAGTCAAAAAGATTTCTTCATCGTGCTACCAGCACTGCTTTTCTCAGCGCAAACCGCTGGGCAATTGTTCAGCCTTGCACCGGAAATTACGCGAGCTAAGACCGCTGCGCAAAGCGTCTTCTCTCTACATGACGAGAAGCCGAGCATCATCACCGAGACAATATCTCCATCAAATGGAACCGAAGCCAGCGAATCGGCGTTGCTAGCGAGCCCATCCAACTCATATGGTACATTTGCCATTCAAGGGGAGCTTGAATTTCGTGGAGTCAGTTTGTACTACGACAGCAGACCGACTGTTCCGGCCCTGGATAACGTTTCTTTCATGATTAGACACGGCGAATATGTGGCATTCGTCGGACGTTCAGGTGCGGGCAAATCATCTACCATCAACTTGATCGAAAGGTTCTTTGATCCCACCGCCGGACAAGTCTATCTCGATGGACACGACATACGCAAGGAATCTGTACGAAACCACCGGGCCCGTTTGGCACTTGTGGAACAAGAACCAGATCTTTTTCCAGGGTCGATTAAATTCAACATAGGCCTAGGCGCGCGGCCAGCCACGCGTATAACTGACGAGGATATAGTAAGAGTCGCTAAGGAGTGTGAGCTTCATGACTTCATCATGAGTCTCGCTGAGGGCTACAACACGCAAGTCGGTGCGCATGGATCGAAGCTTTCTGGCGGTCAGCGTCAACGACTTGCCATTGCGAGGGCTCTCATACGAGACCCGGAAATATTGCTCCTTGACGAGGCGTCCTCTCAACTAGATGCGAATACGGAGAAGGCATTACGCCGTACCATTGCGGCTGCGTCTAAGGGTCGAACGACGATTGTGATTGCGCATCGGTTGGCAAGCGTTCAACATGCAGATCGCATTTTCGTGTTTGACACTGGACGCATAGTTGAGCAGGGTCGGCATGCAGATCTCGTTGCTTTGGGTGGTATATATTCTGGCATGGTTTCTGCCCAAGAGCTTGAGTGATGAATTGCATCCTCCCGCGCGTCGCCATTGCTGCCACTTTTCATTCTCAAACACTTGGCCTATCGACGGTCCTGTACAACACCTTTACAGCCTACACCATTTTTCTGGCTAATACTATCGGCATGATCTGTCCTATATATATATATATTTCTGTTCAGCATCGAGCCAGGCGAAGTTCGAATGGATATATCAACATTGCACAACAGTGAATTTATTGCACAAGTTCATTACCACCATCGACACCAGTGAGAGTACTAATGGGAGTCTGTAGGATGTTTGCAGACTACCTTGCCTTACCGGCTGACGTTCTGGGCGAGCAGATCCACATTTCAACTGAAGTGCCGTTCCTGCATGACAGAGGGCTGCGTGACTTGCTTACTGTGGATTGAAACGTTTTCACGCCAAGCACATACTCGCAATCTGCTTCATCAACCCGAGCGGAGGGAGATCTGGCATGTTTCGTCTACGACTTGTCTCTTGCATGTAGGTATGTTCCGATGCAGCTGCACATAGGTATTCACAACACAAGCATCAACTCACAAGCATCCCCTGGGTGCATGATTGCGTGTCGGACGAAACCAGTCTACAACGAACATGACATATGGTGGCGCATATGCGCCAAAGCGCCTCATTCGTCACCAGCTGCACAAAGTCGGCTAGAAAGGTTTGCTTTTACGATGAAGTGGCCAGCAGTTACGACGAGCTAACCGAGCACAGCATCTATACCGAGCCCTGCATCATGCGTGGACATGTCAGGCAGATGTGGTGTTGAATGCCTACCTACACTAGTAGGGCCGAGACGTTATCTGATGGAACTTATCAGATTTTTCTGACTTGATCCATTTTCATCCGACATCGCCCCGAGCCTATGCCCCGGCCTGTCCGCCATCCCACGCCCCAGGCACTCTCCGGCATATTTTCTTTTGGGGGTTGCGGGCATGTATTGGGCAAAGCGCAGCGGGGCCCGTCAGAAAATTTGCCTCCATCATGACACGGCCCAAGCGCGGATTGAGCCGCTCTTTGGCGTGTTCGGTCTTTGAAAATTTAATCAATCAGATAAGATGCTCATCCATGGCGGTCGTCATAACCCAGTACCAGAGACGCAGGCTGCATTTTGGACTGCACCGTATCGGTCTAGTTGCGACTGACTATCGAACGATCCTCTGGCGAGCGTCACAGATCTTTTTTATTGGCGTGCGTTTACGCAATACCTAACGGAGATCGAGCCCAAGTTACCCAATGATAGAAATAGTGGAGGTCGACGACTTTCTCCATAACTTGGAGAAGGCCTCCAATATCGATCTGCAAGTTGTTACTCCCACCCTTCCCCTCTTCAAGGCGAACTCAGTTTCCGACGACGGTACGTGATCTTGCGGCGCTACAGACCTCGCATTTCGCATCGAGTGTAAATGTCATGGTCAGACGTAAACAGTTACTGATTCTGTACAATCATAGAGACGACCTAGACACTAGCTACTGCCCAGCGCTCAATCATAGGCGACGCAAAGGGGTGGGTTTTGTATAATCAGCAGGGTGTGATTGGACGAGTCCCTGGGTTGCCAGTACGTGGGACTAGCAACGGGCCTTGCTATGTATATGAAAATCATACTAATAGCGAGCATAGAGCATTCAAAGCCATTCTTGCAAATTGTTTTTTGCTCGCTTTCAACATGAGTCCTCACGCAGAATTATCATCGACTTCTTCGGAAAACCCTGCTCCAGCTGTACAAAGGGCGTTTGACGGGTTTCTCACCGAGAATATCAATGAGAACCATTTGCCCTCGGTCGAAAACCGATCTCATTTGCGCTACACCCCAGAGGAGGAAGTTCATGACCTGGTGTGTGTCGGGTTTGGCCCAGCTTCCCTCGCCATTGGCGTGGCTCTTCATGATGCTTTGGACGGCACTGATGCGTCCCTGATGGATGTGCCTGGACTTCAAACCAGATCGCCAAAGGTTGCCTTCCTCGAGAAGCAGTCGCAGTTTGCATGGCACGCTGGTATGCTTCTTCCTGGTGCAAAAATGCAAATCACTTTCATGAAAGATATGGCAACCTTGCGAAACCCCCGCAGCGAGTTCACCTTCTTGAACTACCTGCACCAAAAGGACCGACTCGTCGAGTTTGCCAACTTGAACACCTTCCTACCCGCACGAGTGGAATACGAAGATTACATGAAGTGGTGCGCAAGCTGGTTCGAGGACGTGGTATCTTACGACCAAGAAGTGGTCAAGGTTGTGCCCGAAAAGTGTGCCAGCGGCGAAATCACCACCTTCACAGTTGTGTCTCGCAATCAGCTTACAGGCCGAACGGAAGCGCGGAGAACTAAGCATGTGGTCATCGCTGCTGGAGGACGGCCCAACATTCCCCGGCCATTTCCTTCCCATCACCCCAAGGTCATTCATTCTTCCAAGTTTGCATACACGTCGAAGCAAGTACTTCCGGATTACCAGGCGCCTTACAAGGTTGCCGTTATCGGTAATGGCCAAAGTGCAGCAGAGATCTTTGACTTTTTGCATGCAAACTACCCCAACTCACAGACGCGTTTGTTGATCAAAGGAGGGGCGTTGCGACCCAGTGATGACTCGCCCTTGTGAGTTTTGCATTCATCAAAGTCGACGAACGAAGCTTACTTTCCACAGCGTCAACGAAATCTTCAACCCCTCGCGCGTAGACTCGACCTTCAATCGCGAGTCTAGGCTCCGGAGCACTACGCTGCTCGAAGACAAGGGTACCAACTACGGTGTAGTCCGTCTGAATCTCCTCGAGCATATTTACGAGACTCTGTACATGCAACGCATCCGCTATGGCTCTTCGCCCGAAGCCGAAGCAACACAGTGGCCGCATCGGATCATGCCATACCGCCGCGTCATGGAGGTAGGCGACTCGCCCGTCCTCAAGAATGGCGTCCGTTTGACGATCCAAGACCAGTCCCCTCTGTACTTTAGCGAAGTACCGGGCGGGCAGGAGCGCAAAGAGGTAATGGACGTGGATGCAGTCTTTGTTGCTACGGGTTACCTGAGGGATTTGCACGAGACGTTGCTCCAGGATGCCAGACACCTCATGCCTGGTGGTGACTTGGCCGATGCAAAGTGGACGGTGCAGAGAGACTACAAGATTCGATTCGAGGAGAAGCGAGTTGCGGAGGATGCGGGTGTTTGGCTACAGGGCTGTTGTGAGACTACGCATGGTGTAAGTTGAACCTGTTGCAGGGCTCTCCTGCAATGACGATGATGATGATGATGATGATGATGATGATGAGACGGAGCGCTAATCAAGTGGATGATAGCTGAGCGATACGTTGCTTTCAATTCTTGCCTGTCGTGGTGGAGAGATGGTCAGGTCTCTTTTTGAGCAACCGACCAAGTGGGATAGCGGCGATGTGCTGGGTGGGTTTGAAGAGAGGAACTAGATTTTTGGGCTTGATGGGGATGGCCAGTCTTGTGATGGATGTTTGCAGGGTGAGCAGAGGAGTGTTGTGGATCAAAGGCAAGGTAAGCTTCTAGCTCGGGCGACGCAACGGGCAAGGAAGGGACTAGGGCGATTATGGGCGCAGAGGGCGACGAGTGACGTACAAAGTATCCATGAGTCTACATGCTTCGTTTTCATTGCGCACTCTCCTACTCTAGCTGCGTCCAGGCTTTGGACGGACGGACGGATGGACGGATGGATGGATGGTAACACATGGCAGCCACGTAAGCAAGAAGGCCAATTTGGGGTCGTGTCAAGGCGAGAAGTCTCCACACTGGTGGTGGTGGACTGGAGACTGGGAGGTGCTGCGAGGGCGATACAGCACAGCTACTGCACGTACCGTACAGTACTCCTAGGTAGGTACATTGAATACATACATGTAGTAGCGTTCAAGCTGAGCAGCGTCCGAGTGAGTGAGCGACTAGGCGTGGCCATGTACCTATGTACCTAGTGGCTGAGTCGAACATGTGAATGGTTGGGTGGATAAACTTGGCGAGGCCATGGATGGTCTGATTCCATGGATTGTCTCGCAGCAAATTTCAAGATGAGAACTTTGTTTGGTGCGTTGCTGCGCTGCTTGCTGCCTGGCAATCCATCATTCATTCGCTCGCGAGGCTAGGCCCGATTGGGCACACCAAGGCAGGAAGCAGCCCAACATTGAATGCTGTTCGCTGTTCACTGTTCACCAACCATGGATGGGGCCCTCTTCTTTGGATTCCAACCTTCCAGCAGCGGCTCACACTCCACTCGACTTGTAAACCACCCATATTCTTTGCCTCTTTTCCTCTCCTGCCACGCCACAAGACCCTCGCTCTCTGTGCCAATTGCTCGTCGCTCGTCGCTCTTCACTCGCCGTCTGGCGTGTGTCTATCAGCTAAGAGTAGAGTACTCCTAGAGTATTGTCCTCGCCCTCTTCCCTGCCAGGCTGTGCCTGCGCAGGCAGAACTCGGCCGGCACCTTGTGGCCGCCCTCTTGTTGACGGTTGAACGGGCGCGCACTGGTTTGCGGCTTCGGCATGCACCGCGCAAATTGACTGCGTTACAGCTGAGATAGCTGGCCTCTGCGACACCCGGTTGCCTTTACCTCGCTCTCTCTCTCTCTCTCTCTCTCTCTCTCTCTCTCCCTCATTCCCTCTCTCCCTCTTTCACACTCTTCCCCCCTCTCCCCCCTCTCCCCTCTCTTCCTTCTCTTCTCCTCTCGAGACCCTGCGTGCGGGCGCACACCCCCTCCCCCGCCATGGACCAGCAGTGGACTGCCTACTCGGAAGCGCCAGGTGCGACCCGCCAGGCGCGGTACGCTCCACACGCTCCGCACGGAAATGCTTCGCCCCAGCACACACAGCAGCGCGACACCAGTGTGTCCTCGCAAAGTAAGCAGGACGCCTACGCCTCATCCAACGGCCCCTCGCGCCAGAACTCCATGCCCCTCGCCGCGCCAGGTCCATCCACCAACCGCGCCGGCTCCGACTTTACCAACGACGGCGACGGCGACATCGCAATGGAAGACGCAGACCCCTACAAGCCCAAGTATGGTGCACAGCGCCCCCACCACCACCACCAACGGCACTCGCAGCAGTTGTTACAGCAAGAAGAGAGCGCCGCGGCGCGCAGGTACTCGCCCATGAATCTGTCGCCCACATCACCTTATCCGGCCACCACGCAGCAGAGCGGCCAAAACTACACCAGCTTCACCCCTCAAGCCCAGTCTCAGGCTCAGTCCCAGGCTCAGGCTCAGTCTCAGTCCCAGTCCCAGTCCCAGGCACAGGCACAGGCACAGGCACAGACGCACAGCAATCGTCAGAGCCCAACACGGACGAATCCTTACATGTCGCCGCCCAACAGCTATTACTCGCCTCCAGGTACGTCCAACACCATCCTTGGCTCTTGCATCCTCTTAGCGCACATATACTGATTCGTCTTGCCTGCAGCATCCCGGCCACACGCGCCACAACTTCCACCAATTCAGTCCAACATGAGCCCAGATAGTTTCTATCCACAGTCTGCCACGGCACAACTAAACGCCGTCTACAATAGGGAGGCTCGCTCCCCCCGCACAACCACCAATTCAAACCCTCCTCAGCTACCCCCAATTGGCCGAGGACCTGTTCCCAAGTTTGAAAAATGTACCAACACAGCAGGTTTACAGCCCAAGATCAATGCCCAGCCTCCCTTTCGGCGCGCAAACCCAGAAGGCGGGTTTATTAGTGTATGTTTGGCAGTTCCCAAGGACAATTCATCATGAACTGACAATAGGAAATCAGCCTCTACAAGCCCTGACGGCGCATCTTCCTACCACGTACAAGCTTTGCAATGGCGGTTTCAACTACCAGTCCTCGCGCAACCCACGGCGAGTCCTCACAAAGCCAAGCAAAGGCGTCAAGAATGACGGGTACGACAACGAGGACAGCGATTACATCCTCTACGTCAATGACATTCTCGGCTCAGAGGAATCAGGGCACAAGAACCGCTATTTGATCCTGGACGTACTGGGACAGGGTACTTTTGGACAGGTGGTGAAATGCCAGAACCTCAAGACGCAAGAGGTGGTAGCAGTCAAGGTGATCAAGAACCGGACAGCGTACTTCAACCAGAGTATGATGGAGGTTTCTGTGCTCGATCTGGTAGGCCCTTCCTTTACAGAGAGACGACCATGTGATGCTGACAAGGATGACCAGTTGAACAAGCAGATGGACAAGAACGACGACCATCATCTCCTCCGGCTCAAAGACACGTTCATTCACAGACAGCATTTGTGCCTCGTCTTCGAACTTCTCAGTGTCAACCTGTACGAGCTCATCAAGCAGAATCAGTTCCGCGGCCTGTCCACGACTCTGGTACGCGTGTTCGCGCAACAGCTCATCAATGGTCTGGCGTTGTTGGGCAAAGCCAAGCTCATTCATTGTGATCTGAAACCAGAGAATATTTTGCTGAAGAAGTAGGTAGTTTAGCAGATGATCGCCTTGCACCTGCTGATATATGACGACAGCCTCGAAAGCCCAATCATCAAAATCATCGACTTCGGTTCTGCCTGTGACGAACGGCAGACAGTTTACACCTATATTCAATCGCGCTTCTATCGCTCGCCTGAGGTCCTACTGGGCCTACCATACTCTGCCGCAATCGACATGTGGTCGTTGGGTTGCATAGTCGTCGAGCTGTTCCTCGGCTTGCCCTTGTTCCCTGGCTCGTCTGAATACAATCAGGTATCGAGGATAACCGAAATGCTCGGTCTACCCCCACATTGGATGTTAGAAATGGGCAAGCAATCCGGCGAATTCTATGAAAAGAGCCAAGACGAGTATGGCCGCAAACAGTATCGGTTGAAGTCGATGGAGCAATACTCGCGAGAGCATGGCACAAAGGAGCAACCGAGCAAGAAATACTTTTCAGCGACGACCTTGCCTGACATCATCAAGAACTATCCAATGCCACGGAAGAACATGAAGCCGAACGAGGTTGAACGAGGTTAGTAGTACTCCCTGCGATTTTCCTGTCGAACTTTACCAACCTGTTTTTTCTCTCTCTAGAACTGGCCAACCGAGCCGCCTTTATCGACTTTGCACAAGGCCTGCTGAACCTTAACCCCCTGGAGCGATGGACGCCTGCACAAGCGAAACTACATCCTTTTATCACCCAGGCGAAATTCACGGGTCCCTTTGTGCCCCCAATGACGCTGAAGTCGGGCTCCAGCAGGTCTCCGGCGCCTGGGGTACAGGAACAGCAAAGATACGAAGGCATGAGCAGGCAACGTCAACAGCAACAGCAGCAACAGGTTGTCGCCGCACAGCAGGCTCAAGCAGCGCAGAACGCTGCCTATGCTAACATGCAAATGAATCAATATGCTGCCGCCCAGAGCCCACACGCTCAACCCAACCCGTACAGCAACAACATGTACGTGCCAAATCACCAAGGTGCACCTCCTCCCTATCCTGCCCAGGCTGGGCAGTATACTCAGCAGCCGATGAATATGATGCAACCTCAGCAACCCCGACAGTACAATCAACCCCAGAATCTCTATGCGCAAGCCACGACAAGGGCTGGGAGACAGCGGGCTACCACCATGGACCAACAACAGTCAGCGGGCTCTGGGATCCCTCCGGCACTCCAGCGTGTCATGAGTCATTTAGACCCGAATGCGCCTGTCCGATTGCAGCCATCGCCCGCCTACTATCCACCGCCGCCAGATGGTGCACCTGAAAGTGCTGGTAGCGCCCGGAGAAGAGGGTCACGCGCCAATAACGGGACTGGGAATGCGAGCAACCGAAATCAAAATTTTGTGCGCAATCTGGAAGATCGAACTTTGGAGGAAGGATTCATGAGCCAGAACCATTGGCAATGATGAGGGATGGACCAACATGCTTGCATTTTTTGAAGAGTTGCCTTGAACGCACTACCACGCAGGAAAAGGCCAACATGGGCCTGATGGTGGGCCAGAGGCGACAGAGCTATTCCCGGTGGACCACATGCCAGCCTCAATATCCTCCTCGTGTTTGCTATGGACAGGCGAAATCATGTCTTTTCGAAGACGGTACAGCGAGTGCAAGCCCAGAGCAAACCCATAAGTCATGGACCAGCCCACAAACTTGTTTAGCCCCAGATCGTCATCTGTCTCGAGCGCTTGTGAAAGTGTACAATACCTTTGATTCAATACCAGTAGACATCCTTGGAGTGTGACTGGGTGATTTGGTGAATGGCTTTGGGTATGGCTTGTCGCCGATGCGCGAGGCTTGGCTGAAGGAGGGGGTATTCAAAGGAATCATCATCATCATCATCATGAATTAGCTACGACATTGAGGGTACCAGGGCTTACATGATGGGGCTTGGGTGTACTAGGGAAGCAAAACAAAAATGGGAGGCATCTGGTGAAAGTTTTGGATGGATGATTGGCGACTCGTGTACTTGTAGTGGATGATTGGTGGTGGTGGTCATGGTCCATAATGGCATGCTTTAACCTTGCCATGATGGCGAAAAAGCAGCTAGTACTCCATGGCGGACCAAAAGTGCTGCGTTGATACAAGATTAAATGCAATTTCTTGTCTATTGAGTGCAAGTAGCGAGTGCTCATGAATGCATGGTTCGCATACACGCACACACAATGAATGATGAATGTAACAGCAGGTAGGTAATCTTTGGTGCTTAGCGTGGCCTTAGCGTTGACTGGGTTGGCGGGGCACACACAGTCTTTGCCAAGCCAGACCCAAAATCCGTCGCGGAAAGTTACAAGCCCTCAGGCAAAAGGCGGCCGCAAAGTATCACCCACCCCTCCAACGGCGCCGCCATACTTGACCAGACACAACTCCTCGGGCAATTTTTTACTCTCGAGACCTGCAATCATGGCGTCCCGCTTCTTTGCCGCCAGCGACAGCTCCTCGGACGAGTCCAGCGAGGAGGAGCTCTACTCCAACGACGAGGAGTCTGAGCAGGACAACTCGGACCAGGACTCGGACGATGACGACTCGGATTCGGATTCGTCGTCGGGTTCCGAGACAGGAGGTGCCAACCGCTTCTTGAAGGATGCGGACAGCGAGAGCGAGAGCGACAACGAGGACATCAACAAGGTGCTGAAGAGCGCCAAGGACAAACGCTTCGACGAGCTGGAGGCTACGATACGGCAGATTGAGAATGCGCAGAAGATCAACGACTGGGCCGTTATTTCAGACCGTACGTTGCTACCCTCAATCAGTGATCATCAAACCCGTACTCTCTGGCCATGATGCACATCGATGAGATAGTGTGTGACTGAGTGCGCTCTCGGCGTCGAAGTTACATTTTCTCTATCCATGGATGCGTCGATAGTGGACAGTGGAGTGGGCCATGCATAGGATATACACAATACTAACGTGGCAATCCGATGTATTCTAGTCTTCGACAAGCTCAACCGCCAGGTGCCCGCGCTCATCAAGCAAAATGATGGCAAGGTACCTAAGCTCTATGTGCAGGCTATTGCCGACCTCGAGACGATCGTCCTGGAGACGCACGAGAAGCAAAAGGTCACACCCAAGAAGATGAATGCCATCAACACCCGTGGCTTCAACGCAGTGCGCCAAAAGGTCAAGAAGCACAACCGCGAATTCCAGCGTGACATCGACGCCTACAGGGAGAACAAGGACGATTTCATGCGCGAGGTTGACGAGGTCGAGGCCGCTCCCAAGGAAAAGAAGAAGAAGAACAAAATCCCTCAGCTCGGCACCGAGATTGTCGACGAGGCTACCGAAGACGGTTTCATCACGGTCGGAGCCGGCGGCAAGGCTGTCCTCTACACAGCTGAGGGCATCCTCAAGCACTTGCGTGCCATTGTCGAGCAGCGTGGTCGCAAAAACGCAGACAAGCTCGAGCACATTCGCACCTTGGAGAAGCTGTTGGACGTCTCCGTCAACGACTACCAGCGTGTGCGTGTTCTCCTCACCCTCATCTCGACCCGCTTCGACTTGACCTCTGGTACCGCTAGCCACATGAACCAAGAACAATGGAAGTTGTAAGTCTCCCCATTCATACCATCCCCTGACGCCGAATCTTCACGTGCTAATAGCGTGCCCAGGGCCGACCAAGAGCTCGGCAAGCTTCTCCAGATCCTCGAGAACAGCGAGGAGATTGTCGTCATCGAGAATGCCGAGGAGTGGGAGGATGACGAGAAGCTGCCCACCATCACCCCAGGCCAGATTTTCCGCGTCCCCGGAAGCGTCGTGTCTTTTGTGGAGAGGCTTGATGACGAGCTCACCCGCTCGCTGCAACACATTGACCCACACACGGCAGAGTACGTGGAACGGCTCACAGACGAGGCTCTGCTCTACGCCCAGCTCGTCCGCACTCTCATCTACGTCGAGGGCCTGAAGAAGAATGCGAGCTTGGAGCTGCCACAAGAGCCTCTGAACCGCATTGTCATGCGGAGATTAGAGCATGTCTACTTCAAGGTAACGCCTTCATCCTCATTCTTGCCCAGACTGTACTGACCACTTCTACAGCCATCGCAAGTCATCACCATCCTCGAGAACAATGTATGGAAGGCCATACCAGAGAGCCTCGACTCCGAAATTACCCCCCGCGCCATCTCCAACGACACCGCCTCCCTCGTCCAGACCCTCTGCACATACCTCTTCCAGAACAGTGAAGGCATCATCCGTGCCCGGGCGATGCTCTGCCAGATCTACTTCTTGTCTCTCCATGACCAGTACTACAAGGCTCGCGACATGATGCTCATGTCTCACTTGCAGGAGACGATCAGCAACTTCGACGTCAACACCCAGATTCTCTTCAACCGCGCCCTCGTCCAAGTCGGCCTCTGTGCATTCCGCGCTGGACTTGTGTACGAGGCCCAGACATCGTTGCAGGAGATCTGCGGGAGCAACCGGCAGAAGGAATTGCTCGCACAGGGTCTGCAGATGCAGAGATACTCACAGATTTCGCCCGAGCAGGAGCGACTTGAGCGTCAACGACAACTCCCATTCCATATGCACATCAATCTCGAGCTCCTCGAGTGCGTCTACTTGACCTGCTCCATGTTGCTTGAGATTCCTCTGCTGGCGCAACTCGGTTCGTCACCAGATCTCAGGAAGCGAGTGATCAGCAAGACCTACCGTCGTCTCTTGGAATACCATGAGCGTCAGATCTTCACCGGCCCGCCTGAGAACACGCGTGACCACGTCATGCAAGCCTCCAAGGCCCTCTCTGCTGGCGAGTGGAAGAAGGCGGCCGAGTTCATCAACGGCATCAAGATCTGGGAACTCATGGCCAACTCTGAGCAAATCAAGGAGATGCTGTCTGCACAGATTCAAGAAGAAGGCCTCCGTACCTATCTCTTCACCTACGCGCCCTTTTACGATACCCTCTCCATCTCCACCCTTGCAGGAATGTTTGAGATCTCAGAACGCAAGGTCTCGGCTGTCGTGTCCAAGATGATCTCGCATGAGGAGCTCGGAGCGGCACTGGATCAGGTCAACTCAGCCATCATCTTTAGGAAGGGTGTTGAGCTCTCGAGACTCCAGACTCTGGCACTGAGCTTGTCGGATAAGGCGAGCGGCCTAATCGAGAGCAATGAGAAGACGCTCGAGCAACGCACACAGGGTACTGCCAATGCTTTCGAGAGGCAAGGTGGACGTGGTGGTCGTGGAGGACGGGGTGGTGGTCGTGGTGGTGGCGGAGGACGCGGAGGCGGTGGCCCGAGAGGTGGACGGAATCAGCAATTTACTGGTGGTGCACTTGGAAGGGCAATTCAGGCCTAAGTTCAGGTATGCGGCGGCAGAGTTTTGTTCGATGCGGATTAGACACTTGATATGTCGTGTCAGGCATGGATGGTCAGGAAAAGGGTTTAACTTATCTTAGAGGAGTCATGAGTAGGCAACGATGATCATGGTCATACGATCACGCTCTCTTTCTCAGTGGTCGAACTTGCGTGGTTCAATACGATTGATTGTGTTTGTTTCTTCCCTCTGTTTGACTCTTTCGATGTCAGTCATGTCATATCATTTCCCATCATGTAATTACCGCGCTGAAGAGGGTGCTCGGGTAGGGGCTCGCATATGCCAGTATCACAGCACTGATCCTCAAAAAGAGATTGTGAGGCAACTAATAGTACATGAAGTATGATGTTCCAGAGAGGTGCTGTACGACATATTTTCATAAAGAGACTATGAGCTATTTGATAAAGTGTAGCAGATGTAGAAAGCTTCAGTCACAAAAAAGGAAGTTCTCTTCATTAATGAACAGTAGTCATGGTCTTTAGCATGCCAGCCAGCACTTGGCAAAAAGTGAGTGAGATCTGCACTCCACAGAACTAAACATGTTCTCTCGCCCGTTGCCATAACTATGAACAACAGGAGGGTGAAGAATAGAATAATCAAATCTGGTCGGTGGAAACGACAGAAGTTCACTCGGTACCTATGGTAGGCCACCCTGACCACATCTCTGAACAACACAAAGCACTTGAGCATCCAAAGCCGTTGCATCTGTCTCTCCCTCCGACTCCAGAAGAACGAATACGTTCAAATTGATCTCCCGCTTCCTTGCCCGTTGGAAAACTGGCTTTCCTATTAATTCACAACGAGAAGCTCCGCTTTATGGGCTGCCCTGATCTTTGTACATGTTTTTCTTGGTATGTGTCACTCACATTTTGCAACAATCAGACCATTTTTCAAACGTGTCATGGCCGAGCGTTAAAGGAGGACCGCAGAGCGGTCTTGTGCGCCGGATAGATGGAGAGATCAGTCAGTGAACCGGTATAGCAAATGCACCTACGGCTAAAGGTTGTCGCATTGAGGGTGTGAGCACAAGAAGGTGCATCATTTCCACGTGAAGCATGCGTGAAATGAATAGGGAGACTGCAGAAAAGAGGACTATTTTGCCTACACTCTGTTCAGCGGTCACCATGTCCGACCGTAGTCTGATCTCCATTGCAGCCTTTTGAGTTGCATCTACACCATCACGTTGCATTCAAGGTGAAGTTGTTCTATCTAGACTACCCTTTTGCGATGACTGTCTCGTTCGAGGATTTGTGGATTTTATAGGCAATGCACCTCATCATCGTAGTACCATGTAAGTATGGATCATTCATTGAATTGTGTGACTACAGAATGGGCATCACTTCGATAAACAGGCCCCCACATTTTGCCCACCCAGAGCTTAGTGCTTTGAGCTGATCTATGGCCAATCAGGTACTTGGAAGATATCGTATACAGGTACGGCAGTGCAGCCTTTGTCTGAATCCACAGATTAATACCGGGGTCGACTGGGCGGTCCTTCTGCAACACATGGGCTACATCCTAGTAGAGGTGAAGTGAGGACCAGCCTAGGTAGGTCGGGGTATCGCCGACTCCACAACGTACCCCTCTTCTCCAGGGCCTTTTCCCGGCGCCCGTTGAGGATCAATCCTAAACTTTCCTTGCAATGAATTCCGTCAGTATTGCATTCCTGATAGTAATACGACTGAGAAGCAAAGATCTTTGTACCGAGCTTCCTAAGTGGGACCTGAAGTCGTCTGTATTGCATTTAAACCACTTGATCGGCCAAAGCGTTACACCAACAAAACATCATGGTATGAATGAGACCCCTCATGAGGGTCCATTTATAATCTACACAGTATTCGGGGAGTATCTTTGGAGCTTGAAATTTTATTTTAACTTGTTACTTCCAATACATGCTGCCAAAGTATCTACATAGCGCTATGATGTACCTGAGCCAAATCGCTCATGCTCTTTTAACTATTGCAACTGTTACAACCGCTGCGAGTCATGTGACTTCAGATGAGCATTCGGGCTGGCTAGATGGCTCTGGTGATGTAGGCCCAGGTGCGACGGCCCTAGTGCGACCTTTCCGGCTCAATCAGGTGCATCTCGGGGAAGGCCTACTACAGGAGAAACGTGATCAAATAAAGGACTTTGTGCGCACGTACGACGAGCGGCGCTTCTTAGTTCTTTTCAACAAGGTGGCTGGTAGAGCCAACATCACCAATCTCAGCCCGCCTGGAGGATGGGAGGATGGCGGGTTATTGAGTGGGCACTGGACGGGACACTACATGTCGGCATTGTCACAAGCATACATTGATAAAGGCGAGTCCATCTTCAAGGAAAAGCTCGACTGGATGGTTGCCGAATTGGCTGCTTGTCAGGAAGCATATACGGAGTACAAACAACCCACACATCTAGGCTATCTAGGTGCACTCCCCGAAGATACTGTACTACGTCTTGGCCCACCTCGCTTTGCGGTATACGGATCTAATATCAGCACTGATACATGGGCAGGATGGTATACGCAACATAAAATCATGCGGGGGCTTCTGGACGCGTACTACAACGCCAACAATACCCAGGCACTCGACATCGTTATCAAAATGGCCGATTGGGCGCATCTTGCCCTCACCGTTGGCGACAAGAATCAGCCTGGCTATCAGGGAAATGTAACACGTAGCGACCTCAACTTCATGTAGGACACGTACATTGCTGGCGAATTCGGTGGAGCTAATGAGGTGTTTCCAGAGATTTATGCCTTGACTGGCGAAGAAAAGCACCTGCAGACAGCTAAGGCCTTTGACAACCGTGAATCCCTCTTCAGCGCAGCTGTTTCAGATCAGGATATCCTCGTCATGACACCGGAGAGAAAACCCGGTCGGCGGCGTCGCGAGCGTCTTCACGCTAATACTCATGTGCCACAGTTCATTGGCTATCTCAGGATCTATGAACACACTGGTTCAAATGAGTACCTATTGGCAGCCAAAAATTTCTTCGGGTGGGTAGTGCCACACCGTGAGTTTGCCAGTGGCAGCACTGGCGGCAATGTTCCTGGTTTCAGTGCAAACCCAGAACTTTTTCAAAATCGGGACAACATCGCCAACTCTATTGCCGACGAGGGTGCAGAGACATGTATAACATACAACACCCTCAATCTAGCACGAAACTTATTTCTGGATGAGCACAATGCAACCTACATGGACCACTGTGAACGCGGTCTGTTCAACATGATCGCCGGGTCGCGGGTCGACACCAGCAACAATTCTGACCCCCAACTCACCTACTTCCAGCCTTTGTCTCCAGGTTTTGGACGTGAGTATGGTAATACTGGTACATGCTGCGGTGGCACTGGTATGGAGAGTCACACCAAGTACCAGGAAACGGTTTACCTACGCTCTGCTCATAGCCCCGTTCTCTGGATTAATCTGTTCATTCCGTCAACATTGCATTGGATGGAAAGGGGCTTTGCAATCAAACAAGAGACAAATTTTCCACGTGAGGGGTCAACCAAATTGACCATCGCCGGAGAAGGCGCACTGGTGATCAAGCTACGAGTACCTGGCTGGGTTCGCAACGGCTTTGCAGTCACCATTAACGGGGAGGCTCAGGCCACCAAAAACGTACAGCCTAGCACCTACCTGTCCCTGAAGCGGATTTGGAAAACAAACGACGTGATCGAAGTGCAGATGCCCTTGAGCATTCGGACTGAGCGTGCCATCGACCGCCCAGACACACAGGCAGTGATGTGGGGTCCAGTGCTATTACAAATTGTTGGCAAGCCAGCTGGGGGAGGTTATTGGCAGCTGTCGCTATACCGGTACCTAAAGCGAAATGGGGACTACCGCCATACTGGTATAAAACAAACAAGCGAAACATCGAACGGTAATCCGTTATTCGCCACTACTTCCTCGAACAATAATAGCTTGACGCTGCGACCGTACTACATCAGTGACACACAACCCGTGTCGTCGTACTTTCGAAGCGTCGAGCAGACTGTAGTCTTTGGTTCTATCAATACCGGTGTACCGAATTGGAAGCGCAACGATCGTCTACCCAGATACGATGTGCCGGTTGCTAACATCACCTCACTAGGTACTAATGGGCCAACCTTCCTTCATGTTCTGTGGGATCAGGCGCCCTTCGCAACCTATGCAGCGTTTGTCCAAGCAGTCATTTTAACTACTGATTTATTTGTTTCTGCTCGTGTATTCACGTCTAGTGAAAGGGATAGCATTATTAAACAAGCAGGCTAATCTAAGCAGGAACTACCCCTATAAATGTGACTAATTAGTAAGCTAGAAGGCCTCTTTGATTGCAGTGCGATAAGAAATCAATTCTTATTAATAAAAGAATTAAAATTCACTTTTAGCTCTTAGCTCTAGATATTTATTAAAAAGTCTTATGCATTTTACCAATTATTAGTGCTTTTTAAAATTAGGATATCGCTTAGACAACAAAAGGTAACTGTTAAAATAGAATAGTTAAGAGTTATTGTTAGATGTCGTAATATTAATATCTTATTAATATCCCACTATATATATTAACTTATTAGGGTAGGGTAATAGTATTTACTTTTGCCCTATTCTTGGTTTGCGATAGTTATTATAACGACTTAGGTAGGTAGGGAATCCAAAAGGTATCCTATACAACTTAAAGGCATATAGGAGTGTGCGTCTATATAAAAAAGGATAAGATTCCTACACCTATAGGTCTTGTATAAAAGGACAAGAAGAACATGCCTATCCTAATTATAGGCAAGCTGCTCTCTATATATATTAGTAAGTTAGGCCTTTATTAGGCCTAACTTAGTATAGAATAATAGGCAAGTAATTCTACCTTATTATTATACTACCCCCTCCTATAGAGAAAGGATAGACAGAGTCTAATACTACTACTAAGCGAACACGCTACACACCTATAAAAAGGCGTAGAGGGCTTACCTCTCCTTTAAGATACTAAATACTATTATTAATACTTATTATATTCTCCCTTAAGGCTAGTCTATAATATTTTAGTATCTTCTTCTAAATATACTATAATAGTAATAAGAGATAGACGCGGTAGATATTTAGAATAATTAGGTGCAACCTAATATAGTAGAGAGGCTAATATAGTAGGTCTATAGATTAATAGAATAATAGGCTTAAGACTCTACTATAATAGCTATACTATTTTAGTAGAATAAGGAAATACACAATTAGATTCTATCCTAAACTCCCTTTAAGCCTACTAGGTTTAATAACCTACTACCTCTACCCCCCTCTACCTTATATTATAAACCCTTTCTAGTTAGCTTACTATATAATAGCACTAAGGTAAACGTCTCCTCTTAGTAAATAACTATAGAATTTAAACTACGTGTAGATAAGGTCTTTATTAGGGATAAAGAGGCAAGGTTTATATATATTTAGTCCTAGTTATTACCTATAGTCTAGCGCGCTATAGCACTATACTTTAAGGATAGTGCATATAAGCGTTAGGATATAAGCAGGTTTCTTAACTACCTAGTATTCTATTATAGTAACTATTATAGGTAGGAGCGCGCCTAAGTTATATTAGAACACCTATATTAGGGCTAAAATTAGCCTTTTATAGAGTTCTTTATAAACTTTATATAGCTTCTATAGAAATTTAGATTACTAAGGTTAGGAATAATTTAGGAGATAGATTATTAGATTATATCTACTACAATTAGACTTATATATATAGAGCTTTAGCTACCCTTACTAGAAGGTAAATAATTAGTAAACCTTCCTTACTAGAGCTCCTGCTTTTTATTAGGCACTTAGTAGTAAGCTAGCAGTTAATTAGATAGTAGGTTATATAGGGGTATTAATTAGGATTAATTAGATTAAGATACTCTATAATCTAGTTAATATCCCTCCTATAACACACCCCCTAGGTATAGGTAAATCTTTTATTATAATAGTTGCGCTTATAGTTAGTAGGTAGTGTAGCTAATTAGAGCGTTGTATATCTAAAGGGTTAAATTAGTACACCCTTTAGATACTAGTTTAGAGCTAGCGCGCCTTCCTTATTAGGCCTACGCTTACGCGCTTAGATATTATCTAGACTAAGCTCTATAACTCTATCTACCTAACTATAATCTTTACTATAGCTTAAATTATAAGATTATATAACCCTAAAGATCTAAACTATACCTATATCCCTACTAACCTATATCTTAGTTAAAATTAAAATCTACTACTTATACTTACTCTACCTATACTACCCTTAACGCCTCCTACGCTACTAAAGCTACTATTACTAAAGCTACTACTACTAAAGCTACTACTAAAGAAGAGCGTGCTACTACTAAGCGTAAGGCTATTATAGAGCGTGCAGTAGCTAATTACGTAGCTACTACTACTATAGCTAAGATTAAGAAGCTAAGGAAAGGGAAAGCTCCCCCCCTAGCTCTTACCCCTCTAGCTCTAGCTCTATCTCTAGCTCCTGCTCCCTAGACCCTATCTAAAACCCTTGCTCCTACTCCCTCTCTAGCTCCTAAGGAGACCCTAAGATCCTCCTAATATAGAGAGCCTAGTATTTATTATACTAAAACTTATCTAAATTATCTACGCTCTACGCTCTTTAATAAGTCTAATAGCAAGTGCTATAACTCTTCTAGTAAGGGGACTTAGTACTAGTAATACTCCTCTAGGTATAGCTATATCCTAATATATATAATCTATATAAGAATTTTTCCTTTATAACACTTTAGTAAGATTAATATTAATACTAATAAACTAATAGCTCTAAGCTTGCCTAACGCTCTACGCTGTCCTTCCTAGCAAGGAAGTAGGTAGGTAAGAGCTAAGACCTTCTTAAGGATAAGAAGTAGAGGGTCTTAGTACTCTATAAGGAGAGTAAGGCTAAGTAGTAGAAGCTAGTAAAAGCTACTACTACTACTGCTAAGCTTGCGCGTAAGGCTACTACTATAGCTAAGGGCGCCTAGAGCTCCTTATTAGAAGATAAGGACTCTAGCTCCTCTAAGGTTCCCCCTATAGATCCTAGGTTAGGGCAACCTAGGCGGCTCCTTATAGACTCTAAGGCACGCTTTGCGCGTGTAATAGAGCTCCTTAGGGAAGCTACTTAGTTAATAATATAGAGGTAGGCTATAGTTATTTTTATATTATATATTAATAGATTTTATATACTACCTTTACTTTAATTAATACTTTATAATATATACTCTACTATTATAAAACTTTAGGTACTCCCTAAACCTTATAAATTATTATATAGTTAGGTTTTTACTAAGCCTATTAGCTATTATTTTACTAGTAGGTAGGTAGGTAATATAGAAAGATCCCTTTTTATACTCTTGTCTAAGCCACATGTTTTAAATATCCACATAGCGTAGCTTAGTAGTGATCCTTTTATTATTACCTACTACTAATATAATAGTTTATTAATTATTATAATTAATTAACTAGGTAGTATCTAAAGTAAGGTGTATTTTAGTTAAAAATTGTTTTAACGCTATTGCTTCTTTACTTACTTACTTAAGTATAAGGAGCTCTGCCTCTATAGTTAAAGTAGTAATAGTTACTTATTAAGCTACCTTCTAAATAATAGGTCCTCTAAAGAGCGTGATTAGGTATCTCTATAATAATTGCTAAGTATTAATATTATTAGCAAATAACGTATTACTATATATTATAAGCTTATTAGAATCCCTATTCCTATATTAGATTAATTAGTATTAAGTCTAGTATAGATAGATAATTACTTAGTTAACCGCGTTAAAGTGTTGTTTAGATAGGTTAGTAAGGTATTAGGAGAGCTAGGAGGCCATATAGGTAATATTAGGGCGCACTATAATTAAGGTGTAAAGGATTAATCTAACGCGCTCCTAATAGTCCTTAATCTCTTTTTTAGTAGCTTCTCCTATACTCTTTTTAATATCTTTACTTAATAGTAGTGTAGTAGGGAATTTTCCTATCTCTACTAGATTAAATTTCTTTGTAATCTTGTTAATATATTTATTATAAACAAGCGTTATTATCTATCTCTTTCTATCCTAGATTACTCTTACCCCTAGAAACTAGCTTACAGGTCCCTTTTCTTCTATAGTATATCTTTGCTTTAGAGCTTAGATAACTTTATAAGCTTAGCTTGCGTAGTTTTAGTAATAGAGCGATAGGATATTGTCTATATAGAATATTAATAAGATACTGCAATCTCTATTAAAGAATAGGCATAGCTCCTCTTTAGAAGTAATAAGCTTATTTTCTTAGAGTGTAGTTAAGAGCTTATTATACTATAATAGTAGTAAGTCTTTTAATCTATATAGAGCTTGTTTAAGCTTAACGCACCTCCTAGGTATTTAATATCCTTTAGGTAGCTTATAGATAACTATAGGGTGTTAATCCCTTAAGGCATTAAGGAAAGCTCTAATAACGTTATATTAATATATCTTAAGGTTAAACTTAGCTCTAATAGCTATTATAGTCCTAAAGGTTTAAGCTACTAGGGTAGCTGCGTAGGTTAAATAAATTAAGTTAGTAAGCTATAGATCTCCTCTTACTACTATCCTTGCTTTACACTAAATTAGGTAACTATCCTAATTAAGCTTATATATAAACACCTATTTAAGTAGGAGTAGACACTCTCCCTTAGTTAGCCTATTAATCTCCTCCTAGGTACTAGCTTTTAGTAGAGTATTAATTTCTTTATATGCTACGTCTCTAAATTACTATCTAATTTAGTAGTTATAGAGATCCTTCTATTATTTTAGCTCTTTTTATAGAGCGTCCTAGTGTGTATTTCTTTTAGGGTTTTTAGGAGATTTGCTCCCTATTACTACTGTAATTATAGCGTGGATTATAGCGTTTAGTTTAGGATATACTAAAAGATTATATAAGGGATTTCTAATTAGATCTATATCTAATAGATCTATTACTATATATATCCCTACACTTATAGAGCCTCCTAGTAGTTTATTAGGGTCCTGTCCCTAAGCTTGCTTACTAACACGCGTTAGTGGTAGTCCTTTAACTTGCAGTTTTCTACTTCTTCTAGGAGCTCTAGGTGCTGCTTATAAGGGATCTGCAGGAGATATAGAATCTAGTCCTAAAGTAGGTAGGTAGGAGCTCTGCTTACTACCCCTATAAGAGCTAGATAGGGTGCCCTTACCTATCTCTATGCTCTTATAGAGTGACCTACTAATAGTACTCTCCCCTCTAGTTCTTTCCTAGGAGCTACCTATTATAGCGTTAAAATAAGTTAGATCACTACCTTCTTAGGTAGT